AGCGTTTTTGACAGTACATGTTCAGGTCAGTACAGGGTTTGATCCCATTCAGTTATCCTTAAGAAATAAGAAAGAATTCAAATGATAGGTAAGAAACTTAATTAATACTTAAAGCTCATATACTTCTCAACAGCTCTCATTATAAACTTTACAAAACTCGTTAAATAACCTTGTCAATAAATATTGTCCCATAAAATATAAATATACTACATAACTTGTAATTCGTTTGTAATAGTTCTGTTTGGTAAATAAAACATTAAACTTCAACAAATCTAAGTAGTACTTTTATTTAAAATAAATAATCAACTTTTCTTAAATATCATTTATAAGAGAGACTAAGAGAACAGAAGGTATAATAATTTGTATATCGCTGTATTGGAATTAAACAAATAATTGGGTCAGATAAGTGATCAATCTGACAACCTGGATTCACCACCCAACCACCGTCGCCTAGAATTAGATTCAACAGTCCTTGAAGACTTACAAGAAGTAGTTGGATTTGTTAGTAGCACTATTTCTCTGATTGGGGCTACAGGTTTGGTTTCCGGCCTTTTCGTGTTGATATCACCATTTGTTATTGCCAAATTTGTTAGTAAACAGAGAGTTAGAGTTCTTCTCAAGATCACATCATCCCAATAATCGACAAGCCTAAATAGTATAGATCTAGTAAAGTTTGTAGTGGAATTAGTCAAGAAAAGAGTAGTCAACTACATAATTGGCGCAATCATCCGTAGTGAACAAACCCGAGCAATCACGAACCAACAAAAAAGCATTCAAGAACCAACGCAAGAGCATTTCAAGAACAAACAAACAGCATTAAAGCATCTAAGACCCAAAGCATAACACTAGAAACAAACGGTCAGAGCTATAATAACAAGACACAGTGTCTACATTTATGTGTGGAATAATAAGTTGTACATTAATAACTCTTTTAATTATCTGGGCATTAATAAACTTCCAAGAAATTGCAGAATTTTGTGCAAAGTGGTCTAACGAGACAAGACATCAATTGGAAAAAAAGAATAGAGAACCTGAACTCTAATGCTAAGTCAACCGAAGCCTTAAAATTATTCCCCTCCAATATCAAATCAAAATTTAGTGGAATAAAAAACGACGGACCAAGCCTATCAGAATTCTTATTTAATATAAACTATGCCCAAGAAAGATTAAACCTATCAGAAAAAGAATTTAAAATGAAACTGCTCACTAGCCTGACCGGCCCAGCACACGAAGACATTAGACACCTTGTGGAACAAGGAGACACAGTAACTTCCATTTATCATAATTTAGCATCGATGTATGACTCAACGCCCGAACCGAATAAAGCCAAGCAAGACTTATTCAAGTTTAAAATACCAAGACGATGGGATCTATATAAAGCACAAAATCACATACTGTCACTGTCGAACTCAGCAGCCCGCCTATATAAAGATGCAAAAATAAGAAAAATCATCGCAAACACTGAAGCGTCGCAAGCGTTCATAAGGTTGCTTCCCCCAGCATCCAGCAAGTTCGCAAGAACCAAATATAATGAATTTTTAACATCACAAGCACACATAAATGCGGACCCATTATTTGTTGATTTCATCAGGTTCCTCAACAAATATCAAGACGACATAAACGAGGATATTAAACAAAATGGTTCAAACTATGAAGACAGAGACTATAGAAATAACAATCTATATAAAGAAACTCGTTAAAACAACAATAATCAATCATACAAACCGTATAGACCACTACAAAGAATACAAACAACATATGCATACCCAAACTCAACCAGCAGAGCAAATAATTATAAACCATATCAAAGGGTCACAGTCAAAGCTGTAAATACAGGACAACCAAAACAAAATAAATTTATGAACAAACTGTACTGCTCCCTATGTGGAAAAACGAACCACACCTCAGCACAAGGCTGCTATGCGATCAAAAAAAACGGAGTAGTAGTGCCCTGCTCCCCCACTCAAATCCCATGCACAATTAGTGAAAAAATTAATGGAAAAAAATTATATCACCCTCCAACTCTTTGCTTTAATAAAGAAAAATCAAACCCATTCAAACCCAAGCAAACGTTCAACCAACAAAATAACTACAGAAAATACTGACAACGATCATCCCAAGTCAAACTAACAGGCGCAAACAACACACCCTTAGGTCCTAGAAAAACAATAGCACTAATAAATAAAGACAACACAAATATAACTACACCGATGGATACTAACATTAACGATATCATCCAATCAATCGACCAACCATGGCATTCATCTTTAGAAGAACAAATGGTTAATAGTTTGACTTGTGCAAATGTTACAATTATGAATCTTGACGCCTCACAATTAAAAACGACAAATATTATTTTCCAAGACAACCCAGAAGATAGTGACTTAGCCGAAAAATTATTTTCCAGATTCTACATAAATCTTCCAGGAAATAAAAGAAAACTATGGGGTACCATCGAAAACGGATCAGACATCTCACTAATACACGTGGATCTAATTAACCAAATGTTCTCTGAAACAGAAATTAATAAATACAAACAACCACCAAGTGTCGTGGTCCATTCTTACACTAATACTGAAATATCAATAATTTATGAAATGAATCTCCCTTGTCAATTTGTGGCAAACACAAATAATATTAATATAAACTTTAGAATATTTTGGAATTTAGACGCCTTTCCAATCCTAATTGGCCAAGATGCCATGAGACCCACTAAAACGGTAATATCTTATAACCCACCTAGTGTTGAAATATTTTATCCAATCTATGCATCTTTACCCACACTATCTGCCCCTCCTAAAGCAGCTCTAACATGCTCATCACTGGTCTCCTTAGATCCCAGACAATCTAAAAACATAATATTTAAACCACACAAACTTTGTTACATTCAGAAAAACGTAAAAGTGTTAATCGAAGACTCTTCAGATCCTAGATTACATGTAATACCAACCAGGTACTCAGCTTATAGTAAACCAAGTATCCCCTTCATAGCCTGTGTGACAAATCTAACGAATGAACCCGTGAAAACTCAACTTACGACCAAAATAAAAACCATGCAGAACTTCGAATTTTTAGATAAAAACAGTCCTACAGACAGTTTCACTAGCATTAACAACATACAGCACACAGCATTACCATATCAATGGACTCCAAACCTACAAACCCTCACTGCACTAGAAAACTTACCAAAAAGCAACACTAAAACAAGGCAAATGGTCAAAGCCTGTCTGTTACTCACCCCATACCAGAGTAAAAATCTACAACCAACAAAATCTGAGACACAGAAATCTGAAGACATCAATAACAAGGAGGATATAACTTTCAAAGAGAAAATGAATAATATCCCAGTAAAATCAGATGATAGACCTAACTCCCCCCCCCTTGGAAATGCCTTCAGATCTCCTTCAACCTTCCGGTTACAGTATTCCCTGCAACCTGCAACCTACGGTTACAGAACTTTTAAACATTGAACAATATGAAGAAGAACATAGACCGTATATTGAAGACATCTTTGTCAATAAATACCCAACAATTGTGGGGTTACATTCTTTTGACATCGGAACATATCTCGCACGTTAGGTTACTACACAATTAAACTTAAAGATAATGAAACCCTTCCTACCTTCAGAAAAATATACTTCATGAACTCACTTGACACTCAACAAATGCTTGACATTACAAACTTCTTAATAAAATTTCATGTAATCTCAAGAGCGTTACACCAGGATGAAATCAACCATCTTCACGCTAGCGCAGGATATCTAGTACAACGCCAAAACAAGCTGGCCAGCCCAAGACTAGTCATAGATTATACCTTAATCAACCAAATCATTAAAACTTCACCACCAAATATTCCCTCCATTACATCAGTACTACAAAGTTTACGAGATAAAGCCATTTTCAGCTCCATTGACCTAACTTCAGCATTCTACAGTATACAGCTTAGCCCTCCGGAAATCCCTCTACACTTTTTAGTTTTTGAGGGATTTCCGATAATTCTTGAAAAAAGAAGGAAACGGACCCAAACTCACTTTTGGGTCCGTTTCCGTGTTGAGGCGTTTCCGTGTTGAGGCGTTTCCATAGCACCGCAGTTCTACTACACCTTATGACCCAGATGACTCTCATAAAAAAGCTTTTGAAAGATTAAAAACCCTTCTAACCACCACCCCTGTGTACAGCAATATCATAGATCCCAAACTAAAAAAACTACTTTTTGTTGACGCAAGTGACAAAGGGTCATACTCAGCAGTACTTTGCCAACTCGTTCCTCCACAAACAAACACAACCAAAGTACCAACACACCTCATATTAGACGACCCATTGGACAGAATTATATTTGCCTTTAGCCTATGCTTCTACCCAGTTCCACTGTACCTTCATGATGACTTCATACCAAGATCACAGATGAACCCACCATATCAAATACTACACTTTAAAAACCCTTCCTACTTAGAAGAAGATTTTCCAGGTTACACAGACAAAACAGTAAAAAACTCATTCTATTACGCTGTAAGAAGCGTACAGTTCGCATATGGCAACTCGCTTATGGATATTTCTCAAATTAAACCACAAATTTTGGAAAAATTAAAGAAAAGCATCATAAAATATAAAATATTAGAGAAAATGGACAATGATCAAAATAAGTTCAATAACTTCATAAAGCAACTTGAAGATAACATTATCCCCATTGATCGAGATTTCCTAATTATCACCTTGATAGCACAGATACTCTCCAGACCGATCTTTGTGATCTCAGCACTACCTGAACACAAAAATAATCAATTAATCAAATATGAAAATCAGATACAAAAACCACCGATAATCCTAGGAGCGCAAGAAAAGAATAATAATATAATATTTCTTCCATACTTTATTAACAAACATTCCTCTTTTGAGTTAGAAGATCTTCAAGATACATTACAAATAGTAACTTTCTGGGCAAAAGCAATTTCAGCAAAAGATTACCACAAGGACATCGCCTTAAAAGAACTATATTGCATTGTAGCTGCCCTTGCAGCTCTCAAACCATTGATAGGTCAAAGTGACCTCCTCCTACTAACAGACAGCAGACCCCTTTTCCTACTTTATTCCAACCCAGTATCTCAATCATCATCTAAATTATGCAGATGGGGACTTAAAATTTCAAGTGAATATCATAATCTAAAGATGAGATTCATTTCTACAAAAAACAATATTGCGGATTTTTTAACAAGAGACTACAATGCCAAACCAACTGACATCATTAGATTGCCGTTAAAAGATTTAAAAATTGAAAACCTTGACAATTTGATTGATCCCAATAAAGAATTCACAGTGGAAGAATGGAAACAATTCGTAAATGATAATCAAAAACTCCTTATCATACCTGAGAATCCAGCAACTCAAGTATCAGTATCCTCCATCACTACAGTAGAGAACTCGATGAAGAATGTACTGGATCCATTAGAACACCTGCACAAGAGAATGTCATATGAAAATATCATCAAAGAACAAGAAAAAGACTTTAAATCTATCTTAATTTTTTTAATAACTCAACCAGACATGGAATATTCAAAATTAGGAAAAAGCTATAAAATAGAAAATGGCATGCTTTATTCTTTTGAAAACAATCAACTTCGAGTTCTTCTCCCAGAAACCTTAGAAGGCATTTTTATTGTGTTTATCCACCTAAGCCATAATCACTTAGGTGTAAAAGGCATGATGTCAGCTTTAAAATATTTTGATTTTCCTCAAAAAACAAGAAAAATTAAACACTTAGTGGAAAGATGCTATGCGTGCAGCCTTCAAAACGTATCAACAAGAAAAAATGTGTTAGGATTCTACCCAACCCCAGAATACCCATTCCAATTCCTGCACTTAGACTTAACCCTATTCCCGCTGGGGGGGGGGTCAATTTGACCCCCCCCTGTAGTTTTTTTTTACATAACTCAAAAAGTATTGGTCTGAGGCTGTTGAAATTTTCTGACTTTTCTTACATACCCAAAGCCCTCCCTTTAGGCCTAAAACCGGGCTTTAATACTAACTGCCTGAGTCCTCTATGAACTAAACTCTGTTAAAAATTAGATGCAACTTAAATCCGAAAGCCCGAGCCGTAAATAAGGCTCAACGATAGCTTAGACCCGAGTCGTATTTTATTGAATTTTTTAAATCGCCGGCTCAGCGGGGATAGGGTTAATGGAAAACTTACCCGCAAACAGAAGATATGAGCACATCCTACTAATAGTTTGCCCCTTAACAAAGTTTCTCATGTGCTACCCGCTCCGGGATAAAACATCTACAATGATAATTTTTCACCTTATTCACAATATCTATCAGTTCGCAAATGTGCAGTTTATCATATCTGACAACGGGCCGTGTTTCTCCAGCAAAGAATTCCTTACAGTCATCACAGCCCTAAATATAAAAAAAATCAGACTTTCAGCACTTCACCCACAAGCAAATGGTTTAGCAGAAGCACATATTAAAAAAGTTAAAACCATCTTAAAGAAAACCTGCACAACGACCCCAGAATACCAATGGCTAGACGCACTCCCTCTCCTAATTAAGCAGTTTAATACAACAAAAAATGCAATCACAAACCTATCCCCCCTTCAAATCATTCACGGAGAGGACTCCATTAATGCAGAAAAATACATCACATCTGCTCCGCCAAATAAAATTTACCCTTTAATAGAAAATATTAAAAGTCAGGTTGAAAAAAAAATATGAACAAAATAAACAAATATTAGAATTTGTAAGAAATGAAATTCACATGCACAAAATACAAAACACCCAAAAACTCAACATTAAAAGACACACCCCTGATTTTGAAGTAGGGGACTATATCTTTGTAAAAGATCGGGCTATTGTACAAGGAACTACAAGACCACTAAAATCTTTATATGATGACACCCCTTGGACAATATTAGGAACGAACCCCACCTCAGCTCTAATCAGAAGATTAGGAGACGGTCTGGTCACATTGTACTCATAAGACAACCTCAAGAAATATAACCCTCTAGACCCCACCTTCTCTCACAAGAGGTCCGCAATATACTAGTCAATAAATTTGAAAACTTAAATAAAAATCACTATCACGCCATAAGAAAATATGGTAGCTTCCAAATACCAGACAACGACCCACTGTATGAAATTGAAAACAGCTGTAAAGATATGACCGCGGAAAATATAATATCGATATCACCGGTCCCTGCCAAACCAAGCGGAAATTCCAACGAAGACCCAAGCAAAAAATTAACATCCCAACCTCAGGATGCACCAAAAGTAAAAATAAGAAATCCAGTGACAAAAAGAATAACTAGATCTATGGCACAAAAAAAAGATTCTGATTCAGAAGACTCTGAAGCAGAACCAGAAATTAAAACTGTAAAATTTAAATAATTTTAACGTCACCTTGTACATTGCTGTTTTGTCCTCATTCTTCACCACATAGCTCTCAGTTCCCTTCACATGCTTGCAGGATACACTTCCTAAGTAAGACTAAAATTAATTATTTAATTATGTGAAAAATACCTTTTCCAGGACAAACATATTTTCTTCATAAATCTTTCTTAAGGATTTTTTTCCCTTGTCTTGGCAACCATTGTAAACAAAATAAACTTTAAAGCCAAGCAAAACCGCCTTTCATAAATAAAATTTTTTTTCTTAAAAACTACAATTTCTGTTAATTGCCAATTATACTTTACATTACCCTTTTCTTGTCAATCATTATAAACAAACAAAAAAATCTACAGCAGCACCATTTTTGCAATTCACACCATGCAAAACACTTAAAAAATAAAAACACAAAATTTTTGCAACCTACAAAATAAATATCATTTTTCTCAACTAATGACAAATTTTATCTCACAAAATTTTAACCCACATGTAAATAAAAATGTTCCACTTTAAATCCTAATCTATATATAATTTTGGCTTGTCTGTCTGTCTGTCTATCTGTTTGTTTGTTTGTATCCAATAAGCGTCAAAACGGCTGAACCGATCGTGCCCAAATTTTTTGTGGGACATCTAAGGACCCCAGGGAAGGTTTATGAAAAATCAAAATTTCAAATATTTGTCTCCATCAAAATTCAATCGTCATTAAATTAAAAAAAAAATTTTTTGAAAATCCGCGAAATATTTTTGTTTTGTTTTACGTTGCACACAAAGAGAACATCTTCAAAATTGATTTAGAAGATGGGCGCGAAGCGCCCTAAAAGCCTAGAAAAATGGGCACGAAGCGCCTTGACTTTCTAGTAATAAAAAAAAATCTTTTAAACATTTCTTTTAATAACATAACAATAGTTGACCTTTCAAAATTCAAAAACATAAATATGGTACACAGAAAAATTTCTCTATTTTTCATATTAAAAGAAAAATACTTTTGCAACCATTTTAACAAATTTTATTACAGCTAATGGATGAGTATTTACCGGACATCCCCTTGGAGGAACCAGCACACCCAGATCTACATCCTGATGGTCCCCTACCATTCGACTTGCCTGCACAAAACCAAGAACAAGCCCCAGGGGAACTCCCAGAGATCGATTTCCCACAAATCTCAATCCCGGACACTAACCAAGAGTTCACGGTACATAATGACCCTCATCTCTGTTTAGACTTCACCCCGGTTGAGCTCGAAGTAATGCTCCGATCAGAAACCGAAACTGTCCAGCAGTTCTACGATCAGGTAGCACAATCACAAGTTGAATATGATAATGCCAACCATCAGACGTTTACAGAAGATGCAGTTACCCCCTCCATAGTGTCTCCTAAGCCTAATACCCTAATTGAGTTGACTCTACCAATTTTCGCCGGAGACACGGCAGTCTATGAACAAAAAAGATTATTAAATCTAGAGATTAAACATATATCAGATGAATTCAAACATACCCACTCACACCAATTCCTTAACCATAAAAACAAAACAAGATGCTCAATCTGTAACCATGATGCACTGAACCTTATCATGCACCTAGCTATGGGCCCCTTTGCCCCACAACATCCATTCTCTACCTTGGATAAAAACATCCAAATCGAAGTACTCCTACATTCATCACTGAAATATAAGGACAAAATTCTAGTGGGCGCCTATGATGCCGCGGTTAAGATAGACATCTATAACCAAGCCCTGGTATCGCCCTCCACCATCCAAAGACTCACTGCATCAGCAAAAACCGTGCCAGCTGTCCTATCCTTCGCGATCAACAGCTTCTCACCAATTTTTGTCTGCGGGGAACATTCATCAATCTTTCCTTCCTTACTGTCCTTAGCCCTACATCACATTACATGCAAACACATACAACATACACATGTCTGTAGAATGTGCGGATTGATACAAAACACATCTTTTCTCCAACATTATCAAACCGTCCACAACAGACACCTCCTACCCTATTACCCCCTCCCTAATATACCAGTCCTGCATGATATCTATGATTTTCAAACAGAAAATTGTAAAGTTCATACAGCTAAACAAATAGAACTATACAAACTGAACACAGCCCAGCAGGCTTCACTGATACATTCAAGGAAAGGAATGAAACTGAACAACACGGTTCAAGATCTTTTTAGTAGCTTCCCATCTAAAGTTACAGCAACCTATATCAGGTTGAAAGAGTTGTATATGAATTTCCCAGAGTATTCGAGATGCTTGTGTTCTTCTGATAGCTTCCCGTTAAATATTATAAGCCTATTAAAAGCAGTCAGTCACTCTGCTGTCATAGCAGCAGCTTTAGAAGAAGTGAACAGGCTGACGGAAAATCGACCCCCATGGGAGGGCATTTCCACTTTCCTGAAGACAGGCAAACTAGAGCTACTGCAGCTCCTATACCTAGCTCTAATACGACCCCTCTTTCATAAGGCGGTTAAAGTACCAGATCTTAACAAATGGAAAACAGGATCGTCGTCAGTACAACTCCTCCAGCTTACTAGCCCTTCAATCTTTGCTGACAACCCCTATCGTCTCAAAGAAATGGACCTCACAGTATATACTGCCATCACATGTGGGTCTAAATTGCTCCTGAAATCAGGTATAACTACCATGGAGAGATACAAGTTCCTAAATCTATCGCCAACAAAAAAACCCTTCCTCTGTACTTCCGGTTTTACCAATATAGGATTCTACCCCAGCTTAACCCACTCACTACCAGTGTTACCTGACAATGCATTCATCAATCAGGTTTCAAAAATAGCAGAAACTACTAAAGTCCTACCAATCATTGTTGAGTTTAATATTCAAGAAAATCTAAGCACTATACCGGCAAACAAATGGAAATCTTACCTAACTGAACACCAGGAATCATACTGCTTGGGTTTCTGTCTACAAATCCTACATGTGAAAACAAAAACAAGGCCCCTAGCAGCGGAAAACCGTACATTTGTCCTTATAGGACAATCTACTCTATACCATCAAGACTTAGACCTACGATCTCTTGTAGATCTAACAGACAATATCAACATGCAACTTCAAACAGCAGCTCTCACATTCAGACTACCTCTGATATTGCCATCAGCATTAGTAGGCTTCAGCAGCGAAATATCCGTACCCCTTATCAGCTGCCCCAGACAAGCGACATTTAAGCCGGATGGCCAAATGTCAGACTATAGCCACCATCAAGGTTTAAGACTACTCTTCACCATTGTTGATGGCCTCAAAATGATAGAGGACGTGCAGCTTATGCCCTCCTTCAGGACACACATGGTAAAGGACCCAATTATTACATTAACCGCCAAAATAAAGTAAAACAGTTCCATATAAATACAGTTTAAATAAAATTTATAAATGTACCATGTTATTAACCTCTGTTTATTTTAGGCCCAAGAACACTCTTAATATTGATGTTCTCATCATACTGCTGGTCATCAAACCACCAACCATTCTCCATGGAAAAACCATTAATATTAAACAGGGAATATCATCAAACAAATATAGACATTTTTTTAAAAGTAGCGGACGTACAAATTTTTGCCTCGGACGTGTTTAATAATAATATTAAAAAATTCTTAACACCAGGCCAAAATCCTACACCGGATATTATTTTGCAAATAAAAACTATCACAGATCAATACACAATTTTATCTAATACCTTAGATGATAGACAAAAATATACAAATCCAGAAACTCAAAAACAGGAAAAAAATTGTAAAACCTTAATGGAAATATTTAGGGATGCGACAGCATTTTATCTAGTAAATGAGATTGAAATTTTGTCTAAAGATCTATACCCTGTATCTCAGGATATCTCGGATATTAGCAAATGTAATCTTGTCTTCATTATTTACTTGTATTTTTGACGATTCGTTCAATTGTATTCATGTTAGTTGAATTCAGAATTATAAAATTTCTTGTTTCAAATTTAGAATATGAGACTACATTCTATTTTAATTGAACATTTTCTCTTTGTATACATTGTAAAACGAAATCAAACAAAATTCGCGGATTTTATAAAGAAAAATAGTGGATTTTCAAAATTTAATGGAAATCAAATTGTGTTCGAAGTTAATTTGTGAAATTTTGATAATTAATAATTACCTTGGAGAAATGAGAGGTCAAAAAAATGTGGGCCCCATTCAGTTTAACCGTTATGACGTTTATTGGATACAGACAGACAGATAAGCAAAGTATATATACAGCTATCAAATATTAAAGTAATTACAGTAATTTTGTAGATTCTTTAATATGGTTGAATTTGTAAAAAGCTAACATCCACTATAGTGAGTTTAACTGATACTGAGAAAGAGACAGTTTCACGAAAATGGCGGTAAAGAAGTGAAATGACGTTCATGAGTTTGAATATTTTAGCAATGAGAAAAGAGAAGATAGGATTAGACGTATTAGGTCCGCTGGGTATAAGAATCAAATCAATAACAAAATTGTAAACAAACGGGGTAAATTTCCTGGTTAGGGCGGGAATACTGGCCTTTCTACATCATTGTTTCCAAACTAGTTTGTTTTTACTTGAAACTAGTGTATAATTCCATTTCTGAACCTAAACGGTATCGGGGTTGAAAGTACATCTGCATTTGGGGTGTTAAAAGATGTAAGTATCAGTAATTAATATAAGAGATAAATTATGAAAAATAAGCACTCCTTGTAGTGTGGAATTTTTCTAGAACTTGACATCATACTTCCAATTGTTTATAACACCATGGTTTTAATTTTTAGAATAAAATGGTGGTAAAATTACACCAGGCATCGTCTTTCTCTTTCAATTACAAGGTCCGAAATCTCCCAACTAGGGTACAGTATAATAATGTGGAATACTTCTTCAGTAGTGAGCTGGGAGCGTTCTGTGGCAGAAGCCACGGAACCATCTACAGCCTACCTGAAATTAAGGATAACAGAAGAGAAATTACTCCTGTCATTAGGGCAGCTCTTTGGCTCCAGGTAATTTTAATTTCTGTNCACCCCCCCGTTCTATCGATTTTGAACATAACCAGCAGTAATTTCCTAACATATGTTTTTTTTTACCCCCCACCCCACCCTTCTCCCTCCTATCAATGATTTCACATGTAACACCAAATATAACCCCTGGGCCTTATTAAGTTACTAACGTCATGACTTGATATGCAGGGATATGATGTCCCTGCAAACCGGACCTACCTGGTTCCGGCTAATGTAGTAAGCCTGCAGAGGAAGGCCAGGATGACGGTAACCAGGATGTTGGCCGTCTTGGCGGTCCCATCCATATACTATCTAATACCCTAGATGTTGGACAAGAGTCGAGTGTAGTTATTTTTATAAATTATTTTATTGTTTTATAAAATATTCTTAGTCTTAGTCGCCCCCCTGTTCTATTGATTTTGAACATAACTAGCAGTAATTTCCTAATATATGTTTTTTTTACCCCCCACCCCACCCTTCTCCCTCCTATCAATGATTTCACATGTAACACTTACCCGGACCAAATATAACGCCGGGGCCTTATTAAGTTTTTTAACATGACTTGACACACAGGGAGTTGAACTACCTCACCACCGGACCTATCTAGTGAGGCCTGAGAGTAAGTGAGGCTGAGAGCAAGTGAAGTGATAGCAAGTGAGTTGATAGCAAGTGAGGGGATAGCAATTGAGGCTGATAGCAAGTGAGTTGATAGCACATGATCCTGCTCCAGATGTTACTGATGCTGAACACATTAGCCTTTATATTGATATCAACAACAAAGCTTTTCAGCAGACTTGTTACTCTGCAGTACAGTCTAAGATTTAATGAATGTTTACCCTTTGAAACAGAATTGATCTTACTGTAAATCGTCTCAAGACTGGAAGAAGCCATTCCTTTCTCCTGTCTAAGATGGCGAACAAATTGATGTGTCTCTTGTTAAGTTGTTGATTTGAAATCCAGATGATCTTCAAGTCTCTGAGAAGGCCCTCAGACAGTTTCTTTTGACTTCCTTGATTTATAAACGCATCAGAATTTCCTAATTCAAATGATGAATCAATCATTTTCCTCCTTGTTAGTTCAAATAACACTGACAAATTCTGTTTTTTTAACTAGATTTTACGTCTTTTAGTTTTTTTACATTTTAAAAGGAAAAGAGAATATATAAGCAACTGCTTTGTGTATAATATGGGAAATCACATTTTTGCTAGGATTCTTACTTTCAGTTAGTTTAATAGACAAAACTAAGCAAAAATCCCAGCAAAAATATGATGTCCGTATTAAAACACAAGGCAGTTGCTTAATTAGATATAGATATGCAACAGTTTTTATCACATTTAGAATTCCCTTGCCCCTGAGTTCTTATTGTTCATAACTTGAAAAAAGAAATAATTTGTTTTTAAAAAGCACAGGGAAAAAACTTACATGATTGAAACGACCATCATGAACCCAATGTTATTGAAATCATCAACACAGTGAAGGTCAAGGGATGTGATGTGGATACTGTGCTTGATCAGTTCAACGCTAGGATCATCGGAGATAATATTCAAGTGAGCCTAACAACAGGATTTAATTAATGTACACTACAGTAAAATTAGATAAATGTGGAATCAGTCTGTCATTTCCTGAGAAATGTCGCCAAGGGTTTTGTAATTTGATGTTGTCCCAACTGACAAATCTCTAATAAAGTTCAGGACAATGTTTTCGATTAAGTTAATGATTAAGTAATGAAAATCTTGGCGACATTTAAAACTGAAAGACAAAGAAAAACAACAAAAAAGTTCCCCTGACTTGCCTTATACTGACAGCACTGTCACAAGTTTCCTCCCAATTGAACGAAGTTGTATAAGTACTTGTGGTCCATTCAGGAGATACACTGCAGGTAGAACATACGACCATCAAACTTTACCCTACAGTAGTATCATCATTAGTATTATCATTATCATTATCATTATCATTATCATTATCATTATCATTATCATTATCATTATCATTATCATTATCATTATTATCATTATATAATTATCATCATTATTATCATCATTATCATCATTATCATCATTATTAGTATTATTAGTATTATGATCATTATTACCATTTTTCTCATCATTATCATCTTAATCTTCATTTAAAATTAGAGATTTATGCCACAGTAAACATACTGGCAATTGTAACTGAAGCATGGTTTATACAACAAGTGGAGAACTTCTCACGTTTTAATGGAACCACTTTTAAGCTACAATACCAAAACTTTTACTTTACAGAGATTCCAAATAATACCTTTTAAGCGCATTGGGTTCCGGATTTAGGCCATGTTTCAGAACCATTGTGAATGTAACAGTCACTGCAGTGATGGCCTGCATCTCACCATGAGTCAAATCATCGTCGAAATGGTGGGCGAGTGCTTTAATAGCGAAGGACTTCTTACAGGAGAAGAGAGGACACTTGACTGAGCGATTCTCGCAACCTTTCTCATGGCTCTTCAATCCGTCCACCTGGGCTTCATGTTGACACCCGGCCTCCTAGAAAATCAAATTAATTGGGTGACAAAAAAAGTATTTAAAACAGAACCCATGTTTCATCAACATCAGTGCCAAACAAAAAGACTACTGCTTGAAAGAGTAGTAAAATGGTAGAAAAAATATGTATATTAAATGAAAATAATTAGAAGGGATATTATATGGATTGAAAATAAGGGGTACATTAAAGGGAACACAAAAGTTTTGATCACAGAACAAGAGTCAAGAGAAGTGGTAGAAATAAGGATAAACAAAATAGAAACACAATTATCTTACCTTGAATTTACAAGAATGAGGAATGAGATCCAGAATCCTGTTTGTAACATTAGACACACAACGCTGAGCTGGACTCATCGAACCTAATAAAGAAAAAGAAAAAACTTCAATTTTTACTCTTTTTTTAAAAGATAATTAATGAAAATTGTACCTTGCATATCGGGCGCTAGGCAATGTTTCCCTTGCCGAGACAAGGTTCACAGAAAACATGTCTGTTCGTACAGCAGGGAATAGGGACATTGCGGGGTACTTCAAAACATATCAGACACTCTACTGCAGTCTAAACCCATCAGTTGGTTATAATCAAATCAACTCGGCTTCAATCAATTATCTATTCAATAATTCAGCCTATAGTTTCAGTTTGCCTTTTAAACTCTCATTGTAATTTTAAGTAAAAAATTTCTTCATTATTTCTTCAGCAGAATTCCGCAACCTTTTCTAGAGAAACAGTAATTAAAAATAAAGAACTTCATTGAGAAAAAAATGGATATCTTGCTCAGTCTTAATGATCCAAAGCTTTAAGGGTACCACTGTGAATTAAACAAACAAAAAAAACCTTATCAATGGAGGAGTACTTAACATCATGTCAACCTTTAAAGTTGAAACCCACAACTTTAAAGAGTTCCGGCATACAGCCAAATTCTAGTATTTATTTTATTTATTTATTTCGTGAACGTACACAATTTAAATAATTGGTACAATTAAACAGCAGAAAAAATCTATAAAAGCATATATCAAAAATGAATACAAATACAAGAAAATGGCAAAAATTGCCATCTAATGATATTGCCTCATCAAAATCAATTTCAATTCAAGATTGCCATCTAATGATATTGCCACAACAAAAAAAAACATTTCAGTTCAAGATTGCCATCTAATGATATTGCCACATCAAATTACATTTCAGTTCAAGATTGCCATCTAATAATATTGCCACATCAAAATACATTTTAGTTCAAGATTGCCATCTAACGATATTGCCACATCAAAATACATTTCAATTCATGATTGCCATCTAATGATATTGCCACAACAAAAAAAACATTTCAGTTCAAGATTGCCATCTAATGATATTGCCACATCAAAATACATTTCAGTTCAAGATTGCCATCTAATGATATTGCCACATCAAAATACATTTCAGCACAAAATTGCCATCTAATGATATTGCCACATCAAAATACATTTCAGTTCAAGATTGCCATCTAATGATATTGCCAAATCAAAATACATTACAGTTCAAGATTGCCATCTAATGATATTGCCAAATCAAAATAAATTTCAGTTCAAGATTGCCATCTAATGATATAACATGCATTTGATCTATAAAATAACATGCATTAGATCTATAAAATAACATGCATTAGANATTGCCATCTAATGATATTGCCAAATCAAAATAAATTTTAGCACAAAATTGCCTTCAAATGATATTGCCACATCAAAATAAATTTCAGTTCAAGATTGCCATCTAACGATAAAACATGCATTAGATCTAAAAAATAACATGAATTAGATCTATAAAATAACATGCATTAGATCTATAAAATAACATGCATTAGATCTATAAAATAACATATATTAGATCTATAAAATAACATGAATTAGATCTATAAAATAACATGAATTAGATCTATAAAATAACAGTTTTAAAACTTCAACTTATTTTTCTATTTTCAGAGAAATGTAAAAGATAATTACAAAGTATGTGTATATGTACCTGTAGACTACCCAGCAAGGCTATATGTGTTGCAAGAAGCTCGTTATATTTAATATCCCAGTTGACCGGTATAGAGGAGGAGGAGGTGTCTCCTTGTTGCTGCTGGGAGACAGAGTTCTTCTTCACCCAGTAGGAGCACCCAGGCTCAGGGTCATCTTCATCCTGACATACGGAAACTTATGAATCTTGCACATGAAAACTTATTAATAATATACAGTGGTCAGCATATATATCAATACAGTGTCGGATACTGAAATAGTAATATAATAGAATTGTAGTACCTGCTAATTCCTTGGTAAATACAGTATACACTATACACTATACAGTTTACACCAACCATTCTTTATTATGTAGCATCTCAGTACCGGATATTGTAATGAAATATTTGTCAGTCTCTGTATTATATTACTATTTTGTATTGATATATATACTGGAGACTATCGCTGAATTGTCATCTTCTTTAACCCCCTTGCACTTATCTCAAAAAGAATAAAAACAAAAATGATTGTTCGTAATTCTTAATTCCAAATTTACCCGATTAGTATCTGGGACCACGTCAGGACGAACTGGGGATGACGAAGCATTGCAGTTGGAAGACCGAACACCACCAGAACCGGAGGGACCTACCATGGCGGAAGGGCCAGCCACAGCTGAAGGATCAGCAGGCTTAGGCACAGCAGAAGTGGCAGAGGGGCCAGCCATAGCGGATAGGCCAGCTATAGCAGATGGACCAGCTACGGCGGATGGGCCAGCTACGGCAGATGGGCAAGCTACGGCGGATTGGCCAGCTATGGCTGAAGGACCGGCAAGAGTGGGAGGGTCAGGTGCAAACCTAACCCGCTTTGGTTGATTACACAGAAAATACTTCTCTTCCTCTTCTTCTAGTTCCCGTTTGATGGCCTGCAATTATATTAATCAATGTGAGATTTATCATTAATTTACGGTCAATAATATTTCCCCCTTTAACTTAATTAAAATTTTTGTTAACAAAATATTTTACCATTATTTGAAAATCCTCCGGATTTTCTACGTCTATACGGTTAGATGCTCGGTTTGAAGGTCTCCTCAGCATGCCACATTTATCAAACCGGGCCGCACGCGGGGTTTCTCTGTCTGATACACGATAACTACAGACTGGTGTTGGCATCATTTTCCCGATGGAAATCATTGAACATCGAGGACGGTTAGAGGTTGAGGACATGTAGCTCCGAGGTGGATGTTGGTGTCCTATCCCTTCGTCACTGGATACATAAAATTCATCTTCTGAGGACTGATCTTGGTTACTTATCCTGCTCATCTAAAATCAAATCAAATCAAATCAAATCGAATCAAATCAGATCGGATCGGATCTGATTTGATCTGATTTGATCTGATTTGATCTGATTGGATCTGATCAGATCGGATCTGATCAGATCTGATCGGATCTGATCTGATCTGATCTGATCTGATCTGATCTGATCTGATCGGATCTGATTGGATTGGATCGGATCTGATTGGATCGGATCGGATCAAACCAGATTCTTAGAGTGAGCTCCTTCCACTCCAAAAGTGATTTTACTAAATGAGGTCTGAAGAAAGGTTCGCATTTAAATAACCCTTCTTTCCCCCCCCCCCCCATGCATTTCTGGAACAAAACTTGTGGCTCTCGCATCTAATGAAAAGAGAATGGTCTGACATCGAAGCAATATCAAATAAAAAGTAAAAAACCGACCTGCGTTTTGTAACGGAGGAGGTTAAGTCGATCTTCACGTTTTTGTCTAGGTTTGGTGCCTGGCAGAATGGCTACGACTGGTCTGTTAGTGTTAGCATTCAACTCATTCTGAAGCTCCTGAATTTGAGCTATTCCGGTGACGTCCAAAAATCGATTGCTCTCTGTATTAAAATCCGAAGCATCATCCCTTTTACTTTCGAAGGCTCCCGCTTCACTTCCAGAGGCTCCCGCTCCACTTCCGGAGGCTCCTGCTCCCCTTCCGGAGGCTCCCGCTCCACTTCCGGGGGCACCCAATCCACTTCCGGATACATCCAATGTGGTTGAAGAATCCGAAGATCCTTCCGTCCTACTTACAGAGGGTGTCTGCGACCCTATTTCTGAGGCCAGCTCTAACTTATTTTCTGAGGCTGTTTCCGCCCTTTTTCCAGTGATCCAGGAAGCATAAGAAAGTGAGGTTGTACTTCCGGACTGTGCTGGTATTTGTATATCAGGCACAGCAGATAAATCTTGAATTCCATCGTTGGTCAAATCTAAGATATTTTTGACCTTCACCACGCACTTCTTTATCACAGTGGCGGGTGTAGAAGTTTCTTCTTTCTTGATCGGGATTAGACGTGAAGTTGGAGTAGTGTTGGTTTCTGAGTTCTTAGTTTTTTCATAGTCCCTATTAAAAGGGCCTCGTAATAATTGATAGCTGGGATTGTTGTCATCACTACTCATATCGCTATCACTGTCGTGAATGTGAAGGCTTTGGCTATATCTGGAACGTATTTCTTTCTTCAGACCAGCCTTGTATGGAGCTTTAGATTTTCCTATAAAACATAAATAAAATAGTTTCGTTTGTTCTAAATCTCAGATTAACCAGGAACAAATAACCCAAACCCACACACCACAAAAAAATCTCCCCTAATGCATTGTGACAAAGCTTTTACCTTTCTTGCCAGTTTCTTGAACAATCTGAACATCTATCTGTTCAAACAAAACTTCGATATCTTCTTCGTCTTCATCTTCTGTAACAATAAGTATTTGATCGCACTCCTTGTTTGAACCTGATTGTTGTGCACTGGATAGACCTGCTCTGATACCAGAGGGCCCAGGAACAGGAGACTTTGCTGTTTCTTTATCTCCTTCATCCTCATTCTCAAAGTCGTCATTAAGAGCATGGCTCAGTTTCTTCTCCAGGTTTGCTACGACTACCAGGAAATCTGAATATGAGTCTGAACCTGAGTTTGGTATAGATTTGGAACCTGGAGCAGGGATAGAACTTGGACCTGGAGCAGGGTTAGAACTGGGACTAGGAGCAGGATCAGAACTGGGAACTGGAGCAGGATCAGAGCTGGAACCTGGAGCAGGGTTGGCAGTAGCACCCGGATCAGGAATGGAACTTGGTCCAGAGGTAGGATCTGGAGTAAGACCAGAACTGGGTCCTGCAATTATGACAGAACTTTGTTCAAGCGTTTTTTGCGAAGTTTGTTTTTGATTTGAATCTTTGTTTTGCCCTTTCTGTGCTGCAGAGTTATCTTTGTTTAACATGTTGAACGCTCTGCACATGAGGGACTGAGTGGGTGTATCTAAAAAATAAAAAAATGGTTTAAAAGTTAGTTTGAATCTTCGTTCATCGCTGCATTTTCAGGGTTAGTAGACATAATTTCCAGTGACCCAGTTCTGATTCAAAATGTACTTAGGCGCTTTGTCTGATCGATTGCATGATAAAACTAGTATTTAATCTTTCTTCTCTTTCAACATTTTTAAAAATGTTGGTTTCTCTATTATGCAACTTGCGCATTTCTACTTCAGACTATGCAGGAAATTGTTAAAATTAAACACGTTGAAACTAGAAATTTTTGATCAGATAAAGATTTTAAAGGGAGTGACCGGCTATATAAGGTAGTTGAACTGAGAAAGCAGTGTTGTGGAAAACTTCTTTAGGATTCATTTGAGACATATTAAACTTTTTAAAGATCTGTAAATCCTCAGTTTAAGCGCAAATTCCACGTTCAAAACTCCTACTTTGGGGGTGGATACGTTTTCAGAATTAGTTTTTAAATTATTAAATAACGACGACATAAAATGTAAAAAAGTTCTACAATATTTGAATAAATCTACGAATAAATTAAAAGAAAAATAAGAAATTCAATATTGTAGAAGACGATGCCTGACCGCGTTAAACAAATCCCACAAGATTCAACAGAATGACATAGAACGGATACGGGGCATAGTACTGATAAACATCTACACGTGTGATATCGATATTTACTCTAGTTCTGAACCCTCTAGTAATAAGTTATAAGAAATATATATACTGAAAGAATTTTATGTGTTTTCATTAGAGTCTGACTCACGTCCTCTATAATAATAATAATAACAACGAAATAATTGATTTATTGACTTCTCTTAACATGTCTCAAATGAATCCGAAAGAAGTTTTCCACAACACTGCATAATCAGTTCAACTACCTTACATAGCCGTCACTCCCTTTAAGAGTATTGTTGTGAATCAGGCACACCCCTTTTTGAAAAATATAATTATAGCTTAGTTAGGTAATTGATTTCGATTTTCTTGTTTGAAAACAATTCTAAAGTTTTTAGCACAATTTTTAAAAAACAACATTTTTTTTACTTTTTATGACCGATTGTTCAGTGAGAAAACGAACAAAACAGATGGAAAATGAACAATAATTCTGAGAACACATGAAATCAACTATTTTTGAACGATTGAAAAAAACCGAACGAAATGGGCCCATCATGAGCGATGTACGAACGAAATGAAAAAAGCCGAACTCGCCCATTTCTAGCCACGTGATAAACAGAGGGTTTCTTGAAGTCAAGCCTCCTTCTCACCTTGAGTTTTCTGACCCTGCTTCAGAACTGTGTCACATTGCATCAAGGAATCCAAATCTATAATTACAAATATTAAATATTCAAACCGACGTATTTATTATGATGAAAAATATATCTTCATTCTTCACTTACTATCTTCCTTATTCTTACCATTGCTTAACTTATAAGATTTCAAAGCCCTAATAATAAGTCCAATCTATTTCTAAGGAAATCCACAAATGAATAAAAATAGAAAATATTCGGTATATATTTCAGTCTTAAAATGTGTTTGTGTCAATCCAATAAAATTAACGGCTGAATTCGCTGAACCGATTGGCCCAATTCTTTTATTGGGACACAAGATACCAGAGTTGATTGGTTTTATCGGTTTTTTGTTTTATAAAAGTCACTTGCCCAAATTTTTTGTGGGGCCTCGCGTGACCCCAGGGAAGGTTTATGAATGATCGAATTATCAAAACTTTGCTTTTAACAATATTGGATTTCAGAAAAGGGGGGGGGCCACAAAACGTATTACTTTCCGGAAAATTTAAACAGTGTTTAAACATAACTTAGAATTGTCGTAGGAGGCTTTCATCATCATCATCATCATCATCATCATCATCATCATCATCATCATCATCATCATCATCATCATCATAGCAGTGTTGATCAGGATGCACGGTTCGAGCCAATCCTATCCATCTTCGGGACTGAGTCCTGCTGACTATATACTTTTAGTTATAGTATTATTAAAAAATCTTAATCTTCATTTAAAATTAGAGATTTAAGCCACAGTAAATATACTGGCAAGTGTATCCGAAGCATGGTTTATACAACAAGTGGAGAACTTATCACGTTTTAGTGGAACCGCTTTTAAGCAAAACCATACCAAAACCATACCAAAACTTTTACTTTTTAGAGATTCCAAAAATACCTTTTAGGCGCATTGGGTTCCGGATTTTGACCATGTTTCAGAACCATTGTGAACGTGACCGGCACTGCAGTGATGGCCCGCATCTCATCATGAGTCGAATCATCGTCGAAATGGTCGGCGAGTGCTTTAATAGCGAAGGACTTCTTACAGGAGAAGAGAGGACACTTGACTGTGCGATACTCGCAACCCTTCTCATGGCTCTTCAATCCGTCCACCTGGGCTTCATGCTGACACCCGGCCTCCTAGAAAATCAAATTAATTGGGTAAAAAAAAGTATTTATAACAAATCCCATATTTCATCAACATCAGTGCCAAACAAAAAGACTACTGCTTGAATGAGTAGTAAAATGGTAGAAAAAAATATGTTTATGTTTATGTTAGGATTATTTTCGGGACTCCTGGCGGAGTATATAAGAAAATTTCCGATTGTTGTCATGATATTCATATGGTTGCATATATCACATTAATATACAGAGTATATTATATTCAATAATTACGAATATCCAGTGAACCAAGATTAAAAATAAGGGACATTTATTTTTTTCTTTTGGTAGAGTTTTTATTTTTTCTCTTTCTTGGCCTTTTTTTTCTTTTTTGACGTGTTTTTTTAAAAAAATTTTCTTAGATTTTTTTTTTCTTATTTGGCCTTTCTGTTTTCTTTTAAAGTAATCTTTTTTCGGCTCTTTTTGTCCCAACAAAATAAACTAGATTAGAAATTTTTTACATATTCATCATATCTGGATTTAAAAGTATTTAACGTTGGTGCTGTTTTTATATCACAGGGTAAATCATTCCATGGAGAAACAACTCTTTGGCTAAAAAAATGTTTACGAATATTGGTTCACCAAAATTTTGCACTAACTGAGAGAGGATTTTTTGGCATTCTTTTAATCCTATTGGATGTATCTGCTAACATTGAAAACCAAGTACATTTATTAACATTATTAACACCATGAATAATTTTATAGGTTTCAATTAAATCATAGCGGAGTCTTCGATTTTCAAGGGATTGTAAATTGAGTTCTATTAGTTTACACTGTACGATGAGCCAGTGAGTCCTGAAACCATTGAAACCGCCCTTTTTTCCACTTTCTCAATAGTTTCTTTATCAAATACACTCCAAGGACACCAAGCTGGGACGGAGAACTCCAGGTGAGGTCTCACATAAAGTTTATAGAGATTGATGAATGTAACTTTGTCTCTATAATGAAATGTTTTAAATGAAAATAATTAGAAGGGATATGATATGGATTAAAAATAAGGGGTACATTAAAGGGAACACAAAAGTTTTGATCAAAGAACAAGAGTCAAGAAAAGTGGTAGAAAAATGTATTAACAAAATACCTTGAATTTACAAGGATGAGGAATGAGATCCAGAATCCTGTTTGCAACATTAGACACACAACGCTGAGCTGGACTCATCGGAACCTAAAAAAGAAGAATAAAAAATATAATTTTTTAAAACTAATTTTTTAAAAATAATTAATGAAAGTTGTACCTTACATGTAGGGCACTGGGCAATGTTTCCCTTGCCGAGGCAAGGTTCACAGAAAACATGTCCGTTCTTACAGCACGGAACAGGTGCGTTGCGGGGTACTTCAAAACATATCGGACACTCTACTGCAGTCTAAACACATCAGTTGGTTATAATCAATTCAACTCGACTCCAATCAATTATCTATTCAATAATTCAGCTTATAGTTTCAGTTTGCATTTTAAACTCTCATTATAATTTTAAGTAAAAAATTTCTTCATTATTTCTGCAGCAGAATTCCGCAAATCCCTTTTCTAGAGAAACAGTAATTAAAAATAAAGAACTTTCATTGAGAAAAAAATGGATATCTTGTTCAGTCTTAATAATCCAAAGCTTTAAGGGTAGCACTGTGAATTAAACAAACAAAAAAACCTTTTCAATGCAGGAGTACTTAACATCATATATCAAAAATGAATACAAATACAAGAAAATGGCAAAAAACATTTCAGTTTAAGATTGCCATCTAATGATATTGCCTCATCAAAATCAATTTCAATTCAAGATTGCCATCTAAAAATATTGCCACATCAAAAACATTTCAGTTCAAGATTGCCATCTAATAATATTGCTGCATCAAAATAAATTTCAGCACAAGATTACCATCTAATGATATTGCCACATCAAAATACATTACAGTTCAAGATTGCAGGAAAAATTTTCAAGTGCAATTAATGAAGTTAACATTGATTTACTGTCAAAAAAGTCGAATTTTTTCACAAAAAACGCGCGCGCGCGCGCACTTTTGCTCAGATTCCTTCAAAACCAAAAAATGCACGTAATATACATAATTCTGAGTTTGCATGCAAAAAATTAGCCTCCTACGACAATTCTAAGTTATGTTTAAACACTGTTTAAATTTTCCGGAGAGTAATACGTTTTGTGGCCCCCCCCCCTTTTTAAAAATCCACGAAATTTTTTTTTAAGTCCGCGATGTTTTGTTTTGTTTAACAATGTTTTTTTGAGAAAATGTTCACAATTGAAATAGAAGATGGGCTCGAAGCACCCTAAAGGCCTAATACAAATAATAATGCGTTGCTTTAAGAAAACTAGACTCATTAATTGAAAATTGTATTCGGTAAATTGTTTGAAGCACATTAAAATGCTTACCTTGAGCGTCATTCTTTTCTTCTCTCTCTTTTTCCTCCTCCTCCATATTAACCTCCTCCTCTCCCTCCTCCTCTCCCTCCTCCATATTATCCTCCTCCTCATCTTCCATCTCGGCATTATCATCACCATCTTCCTCCTCCTGTTCAATCTCATCCTCCTCCTCATCATTATCATCATTTTCTACCTCTTCCTCAACCTCCACCTCAGCATTATCCTCATCCTCCTCCTCCTTAGCATCCTCAGCATCATCATCAACATCATCATCAGCATCCTCGACCTCCATATCACTCTCGACCTCGGGAATAAGAAAGTCCTCTCTTGTCTGTTCTCTCAACATGAGAAGATCCTCGCCCATTTTCTAAAAGCAAACAAATACATTCAGGATTTTCAAAAAAATGATAGATTCACATTTATAGTTCTACCAACTTTTTCATTTTCATTTAACTTTTCTATTTTTGCTTTTTCTATAAAATCTTGAAAGTTGTCATTTCTGTTGTTATTGTGTGTTCTTCATTTTAAGAGTGCCATCAGGGATTCACAAAAATAATCCTAATGAGACGTTTTTTGCAATCATTAAATGAGGTTTCATCAACTTTTTTTTGAGGGACAGCTGTGTAAATCACTAACCCCACATTCTTAAAATTTATGTATTGCAGAAGTGGTGGTGGTGGTGGAGGGAGGTGGGGGGGAGTCTAACCTGAATTTTTAATTGCAAATCATCTAATACTTGATGAGCTGGATCAACGTCGGAATCGGACCTGTCGTCCGACATAATGAACAATCTGAAATTAAACAATGTTGAGTTAAATCTCAAATCTACACATGCTCATAGCAAGATAGCAAGCATTTTTTACTCTTCTTTACTTGGATAAATATCCCGAGCACGTTACAGGAGTGAGATCATACGCACGTTACTGGAGTAGGTTTCTATGCATGTTACCGACGCGCAAAGTTCTTGTCCATAACCCCAACCCCTCGTTGAATATTATGTTTGTTGGATTTGATTCTGCTCTCCACAGAGCTGCTGGCAGCAGCAGTCTTCAGTTGTCTCTGCAGGAACTCAGGGTCGTGGGAGTGCCTAAACATTTAAATTATTAAAGAACTACTTTGAATCCAGATCTAGATCCATAAGGAGGGTTGTATATATTAGATTTCGGATAAATCGAAAAAAAAAATGAAAATGAGACATCAGAAGGCGAGTTTTTTCATTCTTTTTGATATTCCTCTACCCCAAAAAATCATTTATATTCTCCAATTCAACGAAAAACCCTTATTTTTTTTTAATAGAGGGGGGAGGAATTTGATTTTTTAAGGAAAATATAAACCCGTCTTAATGACCGCTAAAATATACAGATCCATGGATTCAGATCCAAGTGGTAAAATATCAACCTTCTATTAATATGAAGTAGTCATGTCATGAATATCGTGTAGCACTATATGTGTAAACCTGAATTGTACATTATTAATTATCAATTTTGTATATAGCTACATACAACTCATTATTTGATTTATATAAAACTGCGCTGTAAATAACTACCAAACATGATTAGCTTAATTATATATATATATATATACAGGGTGGCCAAAACTTTTTTGAACACATCCGTACAAAAATCCGTACATTTTCAGAAGAAATCCGTACAATCCGTACAATTTTCGAAAAACAATCCGTACAATCCGTACATTTTTTAAAACCAATCCGTACATTTTTTTAAAAATCCGTACATTTTTTTTAAAAAATCAGGGTACAGGATACTGGGTACAGGATACTGGGTACAGGATACTGGGAACAGGATACTGGGTACAGGATACTGGGTACAGGATACTGGAACATCTTCTTGAATAAGCAATCAAATAAGTACTTATGGAACATATTCTCAAATAAACACTTCTTGGACATATCTCGAAAATTATGAATGAATTTTGATTGTCAATTGAAACATTAATCATTCATTAAATGAATTTGGTTCGATAAGCCTTGTCAAAAGAGAATGGATTAGATAATTTCTAAAATATACGGCCATCAGTTTGTTTAAAAACTCATAAAAATTTTAAACTTTTGAAGGTCTAACACAAAATAAAATATATATTTCAAAAAAAACTGTCAAATATTAATTAGAATAATTGTGTGAAATCAAAGAATTATTACATAATTCTAGCAAAAATGCCAATTAGAGGGGTAAAAGTTAGACCCTGCAGGTTCCAATTATCATGACTGTACTGCATGACCATTATAGGATTTAAAACAGTACCTAGAAACAAGTGCCTCAAAACGTAATGTCAGCATGGGAAAATACTACTATTGTAATTATGAATGTCGATTTAATGATTCAGGAAACACACTGTATTTATTATTTGATTGATCCTAGTAACATGGAATAAAGATTTTTTACACGTGGGAATAATTTCTCTCCATTCTGCACCTTATTCTGTAAGTTATCATGCCTCAATAATTGATGAAATAAAATCAGTGTGTAATCGTACCTCTGGAACCAATGGCCAGCTAAAATATGCATATCCATGGATTCAGATCCAAGTGGTAAAATATCTCTGTTTGTTTGTTTGTATGTCCGAACAAAACTCATGAACGCCTTGACCAATTTGCCTAATATTTTTATTTGAAAACTTGGAAGAACCACGGGAATGTATTTGTCTTGGTTTATAAAATTCTTAACTTTGTAAGTTAACTTTGTGGAGATTAAAGTTTCTAGGCAAAGCTGTGTTCCAGAGCTAGCACTAAAATGTTCTCAAATGTTCTTTTGAAAACCAAAAATGTGTGAAATATGGAAGAATTATTAATAGAAGAAACGTGGCTAAAGAAAAATATCCATATATATATAGTTTGATTTAACAACGCATATGTATTATATAAAAAAGACTTTGGTTCAATGAGGAGCCATGTTAAAAGGGAATGGATTAGGTAATATCTAAAAAAGACCGTCGGTTTGTTTAAAAACCCCAAAAAATCCTATGAAACTTTAGAAAGTCTGCCACAAAAAATAAAATATATTTTTAAAAAACTGTCAAATATTAATTAGAATAATTGTGTGCAATAAAAGATCTAATACAAAAGACGATAATAGGAGGGGGAAAGTATATACCCCTGAACCCCCACCCCTCCTGCATGTTACTGTTCTACTATAATAATAGGGATAGAATACTGTACCCTAGAAACAAGTACATCAAAACGTAACGCAGGGGTGTAAATCATAAAGAATTACCCTGGGAATAATTTTAGATAACCTGGGAAAAAATAAAAAATTGGACATTTTTTTAGATAATAAATACCTTCACATTCATTTATTTCCCTTAGTCTTTTGTTATCATGTTCTAATAATTGATGAAAAAATCATTATGTTATGTTGCCGTACCATCCAGGGTTAAGTTACTCGGGTCTGTCCTAGTGAACGATTTTTGGACCCCCCCCCCGAATTTTCTGAAATATTTTCATCTTATTTTCACTACTAATTTATCCATTTACAAATATAAGTTTGTAACCTCTTAACCAATATAATCAGGACTATTGTGAGTTATGATCAATGCGTTTCAAACCGTTTCAATCCGTTTCAATCTGTTTTCTTGTATAATTTTTTAGTTATACATTTTTTGACTTCCTTCATATGTCTATTCAAATTCTCAATTAAGAATTTAGTTTGAAGGAAACCAATAATGATAACATATGTATCTCGATATAGCGAAAAGATATTATGACGAAATAAATCTATTTTCATATCCTAAACGTTGATAACGTATAATGATTTCATTAAATTCTTTTTCAATAAATTTACTGCATATAGCTAGGTTATAGATAGAGACCTGTGCTGTAACTTTGGTATAACATGCTGTTGAGTCACTGTGCAGTCTACACACACACTAAATCAGTAACGAGCTGTAACAATTTAAAGCCTATCTTGGTTCCTTTCAAATCGAAAGCCTGAGGTGTAGACTGATGAAGCAGGAAGCTTCAATTCAAGCCGACTCTCGCCTTGACAACAATAGCAGTACGGTACCGTAGGCGTAAGGCACATCAGTGGTACTTGCACGACACAAATTCGTCTGCGCTTATCTTTGGTACTGGCACGACACACGTTCATCTGCTCTTGCATGTGGTACTGGCATGACATAAATTTGTCTAGGCTTGTTAGTGGTATCAACACGGATCACTCAACGCTTGCGTAATGTGTTTGGAGTATGACAGACATACTATCTAACTGAGAAATTTGCTACAACTTCCAAAGATTAGGAAGTTCAGTAGGGGGGGAGTTGCGTAATGCGTATAGACGATGGAACATTACCCTTCCTAAGAGAGGCTGCAGATATTGCTTGTCCGTCCATTTGCTAAAATCCCACAAAAAACAGCTTCAAACCCTTTAACCCCAAAAGGCACAGGGGGGAACGCTAAATCTGAGACAAAAAAATAAAATAAAAAAAGAATAAAAGAAACGAAAAAAAGAAAGAAGGAAGGAAAAAGCGAGAAAATTGACATAAATTCTTATTTTTTGTTAAGTGTACAAGTACAGGATTAGTTTTTCTTCAAATTTAAGAAAAATTGGGTGCTTTGAGCTTTCTGAATTAAATTATTTGGGAATTATTATTTCTATCCTGTCCTGTGAAATGATAGGGTTTATATGAAATTGTGAGAAGCTTCTCCTTTACCCTTCTTTTATTAGAAATAGATGAATGATCCTTATGAAAGTAATATGGAGACAAATTCAAATTATATACAAAATATGGTCAGCAGAGGCGGATACATGAAAACTTTAAAATTGATCTGTTTCCTCATATTTTTGATCGGTTTCCTCAAATTTTTGATCCGTTTCCTCATATTTTTGATCCGTTTCCGCTTTTTTCAAAAACTCAAAAAATCTCAATTTGTTGATCGGTTTCCTCAAATTTTAGGTCCGTTTCCTCATATTTTTGATACGTTTCATCTTATTCAAAAACTTTTAAATCATCTTTTTTGGCATCCGCAGGGGAGTAACGAGAGCATTTTTAGAATTTAAAGTAAAAAACAGCAATTTTTAATCGTTGAAGGGTTTGTTCTGGGCTCAATAATATACCAAATTCTTATAATAACAATGGTTTGAGATTTTTTAAGTTTTTGAAAAAAGCGGAAATGGATCAAAAATATGAGGAAACGGATCAAAAATTTGAAGAAAACCGATCAAAAATATGAGGAAACAGATCAATTTTAAAGTTTTTTGAAAAAGTGGAAACGGATCAAAAATATGAGGAAACGGACCTAAAATTTAAGGAAACCGATCAACAAAATTGAGATTTTTAAAATTTTTGAAAAAATCGGAAACGGATCAAAAATATGAGGAAACGGACCTAAAATTTGAGGAAACCGATCAACAAAACGAGATTTTTAAAGTTTTTGAAAAAAGCGGAAACGGATCAAAAATATGAGGAAACGGATCAAAAATTTGAGGAAACCGATCAAAAATATGAGGAAACAGATCAATTTTAAAGTTTTAGAAAAAAGCGGAAACGGATCAAAAAAATGAGGAAACGGACCAAAAATATTGGGAATCCCCTAAAAAATATTGGGAAATCCCTCTAAAATATTTGAATAAAATAAAGGGGAAACGGATATACAATTCTGGGAAATCGATCAAAAAAAGAGGAAACTCCTCAAAATATGAATTTAGGGGGATTTCCGAAAAATTTGAAGAAATCGCGGAAATGCCTAAAAAAAACCGGTTTTTGAGGGGTTTCCATGTCACCTTAGAAATTCCTAGCTACGGGCCTGCTACAAACTATGACAGGAAGAAGTATTTTGCCAGTTAATAGAGCTAATATCGAGCACGTAATTTATACTGCTATATTAAGTTATTTACTGATCATATATCTTATTTATGAAGCTACGCTTAATATTTTTATCCGTTTTAATACATTTTTAACAACTGGGGAGGGGGATAATTCATTCAGATTGTCACACAAAGACTGCTGTTATATGAAAATAAACTTTTTTTTATCCATAAACTTGTAATCTCTGTTTGTTTGTCCGATCAAAACTCATGAACCCCTTGACCGATTTGCCTCAATTTTTGAATGGGGAGCTAGGGAGATCCACAGGAATGTTCATAGATTTATTTTAAGATTCTAAGTTGAGCGGATCGACATTTTAGCAGCAAAAATTTAGTTTTCCGGTAAAAATCGTCTAAGTGCGGGTAAAAGGCGGAAGTAACTCATGAGTACTCTGTGCAACGCTGGGTTCCCGAGCTAGTTATATGTACTTGTATTCTGTGTATAATGTAATATATATAAATATTTTCAAGGGTGCTATAATCATAGGATGAGAGGGGGGGGGGGAAATATAACGCTATTTAAATATAAATATAACTGTTTCAAAATATATCATTATAATCTCAAAAGAAGAATAAAAAAATTTCATATTTCTTAAGGAGTTCATTTTTTTGTCTCATCAACCCATCTCAAAAATGAATTTGTTTAAAAATATACTAAAAAGGAAGATCTTCTAAAATCAAATAGATTTTATGTCGTATTCACGTTAAGCGTAATACAATTATTTCAAACAGAAATCTTATGTAACTATTTTTTTATTTTGGTCTTAAATTTCTGTTCTAAAATTTCGTCAAGTATTGTTCAGATAAAATATTTGAATTGTTTAGCATAATTTATGATATATGAAATGTTTCTATTTTGAGATAACACAGTTTGCAATTCATTCATAGATTATGGTTGTGGCCTTAATAATTATTATTTTGTCCTAGAATGTCAGAACAAATACTAAAAAACCTGGAAGTGGGTCTAAATGAAAATAAAATGTTTGCATTCACGGAGAGTTTGAGGGCTCGAACAGATAAAATATAAAAGCCTGGTTTTTACTCTATAAATAACACATTTCGAAAAATGTCTTGACGCAGAATTTCTTCTGGAGTGTAGTACAGGTTCAGTGAAAACCATGGAAAACTCTGGAACAGGAAGTCGACTTTTAAACTCAAGTTATGACTTTAAATAGTCAAATGAACATGCGAAACAGCAATTGTGAAGTGTTAACAGACCCTTTTCACTATTTGCTTCAGTGCTCTCATGTCGTCTTTCTATTCTGCAGTTTTATGGTTATCACTGTATTTGTAGCTTAAGTTGTTATTATCTTTATGATTGGTGACTTTTTAGTTTTTAGATTCTCAATAGTATTAGAATTAGAAAAAATGATAAAAACACCCCATAATAAAAGAAAGAACATTGATCACTTACTTTATTTCATCCTGCTCCATGGCCTCCTTATCTCTATACGCTTTAACCTTCTTGGACCTCTGTTCATCCCTCCAGGCGGCGTTCTCCATCATTTCCCTGAGCTTCCTGGCCTTCTCATCCTCATCCAGCTTCTCCTTTTTCACCACAACCTTCTCCTTCTTCACTCCAACTGTACCGGGAGATTTTGACGCTTTTCTTTTTGGGGATTTTGATGTTTTACTTTTCGGGGATCTGGAGGCTCTTCTTTTCGGAGATCTTGAAGCTACTCTCTTGTCTTTACTACGAGATCTGTGGCGGGGACTTGGGGATCTTCTTCTAGGACTTCTAGAGCGACGTCTTGGGGGACTTAGTCTTCTTTCTGGACTGGCAGATTTTTTACGTCTTTCGCTAAAATCAGCATTACGCCGCTCGTTCAAGTCCCTCCGGCGTCGATCACTATAGTTATCGTTACGTCGTTCGCTGAAGTCATGGTTTCGTCTGTCACTAACATCATGTGTACGCCGGTCATTAAAGTGTCTACGCTCGCTTTTATCATTATTTCTTCTCTCGCTGAAATCCTGGAACCTTCAAAAAAACAAAATGAAGGTTAAAATAAACGTTGAATTAAAATCGTTGTAAAACTTGATATCTTACTTTTTCTGTCGTTGATCTCTAGGTGGGGTATCTGGTTCCTGTTCTATATCTGTATACTTGGTTTCTACAGGTTTCCCCCTCTCCTCCTCCTGTCTGAACCTCTCCCTCTCCCTTTCCACCTCCTTACCCTCGATCCTCTGCAACCTCTGCAGCAGCTTCAGGTCCAGATCTACATCACTGTCGTCGCTATCACTACCTGAACAAATCATAAAATATCATTAATATCATTAATATCATTATCATCATAATCTTCATCATTTTATCATCATTTTAATGATTTATTTTAAATTAACTTAATTCGAAATGTTAAACTAATTTTTTTTGTTTTTAGAAAATTTGAGAATAAATGTTAAATATTTTATAACTTTGAGAAGAAAAGGATGTCTTCAAGTTAATCCCAAATTTTGTGAGACCTGGGAAGGTTTATGAATGATACAAAAGTCACTTTAAATTAGAAAAAAGCAAGGTCTATTTTATCGTTTAAAACTGTCCTTTAGATCTTGAACGATCAATAATTTAGGTTAAATATACCGGTGCGCTTTAGTTTTCCAAATCTGTAGTATGGCTTCTAATTTCTGTCAAGTGTTTTATTGTATAAACTAAGATTTTATCGAGCCTCCTTTACTGTCAATAATTAAAGCTTTTAACAATTACTCAGAAAGTCGGCCATTTCTATTCATTTTAAAGTTTTGACGGATTTTCTAATCAAATTGGCGAATTCGATCGGTCCGATCGGTAAAGCCGTTTTGACATTCGATAAAAACAAACATAACAAACAAACAAACAAACAAACAAACAAACAAACAAACAAACAAACAAACAAACAAAAACAAACAAACAAACAAATCAAATCAAATCAATAAAATCAGGATTTTAGGGAGGTCGTACTATCCATGATTCAATCTCAAGATAAAATTACTCAATCAAGAATGAATCCATTGGCCTTATAGCTTGTAAATTGTATGACTTTTCCACTTTTAACTTTTCCAATTCATGATAAGTATATTTTGGTTAATTTTTGTATTTTGTAAATTCAGTTCATGAATATTTTTAATGCATTCTTTAATATTTTACTACATAACAGCTACAGCGGACAAACAAACCGTCAGACAGACAACATGACAGCTACAGCGGACAAACAAACCGTCAGACAGACAACATAACAGCTACAGCGGACAAACAAACCGTCCGACAGACTAAGTATTTATATATAAACAAGGTTTCCAGGGCGTTTCGCAACCATCTTCGATTATAGCTTTTAATGGTTTCTCTTTTATCGATTTAAATGATTTATATTTCATTGATGGATGCTAAATTTATTTGTGTGTTATGTTCCGATTTTGAATTCAATTTGAGTTGACATATTTTTATCTTTTAATGAGATCAGGAAACCGTCTAAGTGAACTGGTTGGGCATCAATAGTTTTGGTATTTGGTCGGGGATCACATTACACGGTTTAGGCACATGTCTTTCCCAGTATTTCTGGTTTCTGGTGGGCAGGACAGGGAAAAGAAACGAAAAAAAGAAAGAAGGAAGGAAAAAGCGAGAAAATTGGCATAAATTCTTATTTTTTGTTAAGTGTACAAGTACAGGATTAGTTTTTCTTCAAATTTAAGAAANAGTTTCCTGGATAGTCAGAATAAGTTTTTAAGTTTCCTGGATAGTCAGAATAAGATTTTAGTTTCCTGGATAGTCAGAATAAGTTTTTAAGTTTCCTGGATAGTCAGAATAAGTTTTTAAGTTTCCTGGATAGTCAAAATAAGTTTTTAAGTTTCCTGGATAGTCATAATACATTGTTAAGTTTCCTGGATACTCAGAATAAGTTTTTAAGTTTCCTGGATAGTCAGAATAAGTTTTTAAGGTTCCAGAAAAATAAAAAATTTAATAATGAGAGGTCCCACAAACAATTTGGACCCGATCGGTTCAGCCTTTTTGAGATTTAATGATTACAAACAGACAGACAGACAAGCAAAGTACTATATATAGATATTAACAATGAAATTGATTTTTTTTATGATTCTCTCTACTAACATTCTTAATAGAAAAAATTGTAAAAATTTCAAAATTTATCTGACCTCGGTGTTTCTTCTTCTTCTTCTTCTTGTTCTTTTTCTCCTTCTTCGCCTTCTTAAGAACCTCGATGTGCTCCTGCAGGGCTTTCATCTTCATCGGGTTATCCAGTAACCTCTTCCTGATCAATCCATCAAACTCAAATCAAACGAAAAAGATAATCCATCAAACTAAAATCAAACGGATGAGAAATCTGTCAAACTCAAATCAAACGAATAAGAAATCTATCAGACTCAAGTCAAACGGATAAGAAATCTATCAAACTCAAGTCAAACGGATAAGAAATCCATCAAACTCAAATCAAACGAATAAGAAATCTATCAAACTCAAGTCAAACGGATAAGAAATCTATCAAATCAAACGAAAAAAAATCTAAATAGGAGGGAATTTTTTGGCAGGAAATTTTCATTCAAAGGAACTGTAAGCGTAATTTACAAAGGTTTACAAACAGGGGAGTTAAAAAGGGGGGATCCGGGCCTTCGCCCCCCCCCCTACGCGTGCCACGAGGGGGGGGGGATTGGAATTGTATGAAAATACTAAAAAATGTCTGGATAGAAAACATAAAGGTGATATTTAAGTAATATTTCTAAAGATACATGTAAAGTTACGGTAAGTGTAAAAGTTGGTGTACAGTATGTTAAAAATCAGACAAACACTGGACATGTATTTTGTAGTAATGCGTGAGATAGACAAATTATTTGCATTTATGTCAAAATATCGATAGATAGATGAGAAGGATACATTTTAAGATTTTAAGACATATACAAATAAAAAAGACCTGCTTAAAGATTGGAATTGTATGAAAATACTAAAAAATGTCTGGATAGAAAACATAAAGGTGATATTTAAGTAATATTAATAATAATTATTCCTTCTTATATTTAGGTCCCTGGACATATTAAAATTAGTAAATTACCATCAATTTATAATTGGCGAATTTCTAAATACTTAGCAACAAAATACTATTTAATTAAATAATGAAGTTGACAATCATTCCAATGCGTCATGGTTTCCACTATAAAAGGATTGAAACTAATAAAAAATAGATAGATAGATAGATGAATGAATGGAGTTCCTGTCTTCCATCTCTCTCTTCTTTATCGCTACCAAAGGGTCTTCCAGCAGCTTCCTCTGTAGGTCAACCTAGGTCAGGAGGTAGGTAAGAGTTCAACCTAGGTCAGGAGATAGGTTAGAGGTCATCCTATGTCAGGAGGTAGGTTAGAGGTCATCCTATGTCAGAAGGTAGGTTAGAGGTCAACCTAGGTCAAGAGATAGGTTAGAGGTTAACCTAGGTCAGGGGTAGGTTAGAGGTCGCCCTAGGTCAGGAGGTAGGTTAGAGGTTAACCTAGGTCTGGAGGTAGGTTAGAGGTCAACCTAGGTCTGGAGGTAGGTTAGAGGTCAACCTAGGTCAGGAGGTAGGTTAGGTTAACCTAGGTCTGGAGGTAGGTTAGAGGTCAACCTAGGTCAGGAGGTAGGTTAGAGGTTAACCTAAGTCAGGGGAATTGTTAGAGGTCAACCTAGGTCAGGTGATAAATTAGAGGTCAACCTAAGTCAGGAGGTAAGTTAGAGGTCAACCTAGGTCAGGTGGTAGGTTAGAGGTTAACCTAGGTCAGGGGAAGGTTAGTGGTCAACCTATGCCAGGAGGTAGGTAAGAGGTCAACCTTCGCCAAGAGGTAGGTAAAAGGTCAACCTAGGTCAGGAGGTAGTTAAGAGGTTAACCTAGTTCTTGTGATAGGTTAGAGGTCAATCTAGGTTACGGGGTAGGAAAGAGGTCAACCTAGGTCTGGTGATAGGTTAGATGTCAACCTAGGTCAGGAGGTAAGTTAAAAGTCAACCTAGGTCACGAGGCAGGAAAGAGGTCAACTTAGGTCAGGGGGTAGGTATAAGTTCAACCTAGGTCAGGAGGTAAGTTAGAGGTACACCAAGGTCAGGAGGTAAGTTAGAGGTCAACCTAGGTCAGGAGGTAGGTAAAAGGCCAATCTAGGTAAGGAGGTAGGAAAGAGGTAAACTTAGATCAGGGGTAGGTAAAAAGTCAACCTAAGTCAGGAGGTCGGTTAGAGGTCAACCTAGGCCCCGGGGTAAGTTAGAAGTTAACCTAGTTCAGGTCGTAGGTTTCCCGCTAGTGCAGTACATGTTGCTACATCGGAATAAATTTTAGAACGGATCAGTGAATGAAATTGAGCTCTTTATATTTCAATAATCTTACTTTTTTCAAATTTAAATTTTGTGTTTTTTGAGGGTTTACAAAAAAGTGTTTTTTCTTATATTTAATACTTATTTAATGAGGTTAATTTCCGATTCCCATGCATTTGAGATCCAAAAAAGGAGGGGGGAGGGGGGAGAGAGAGAAAGAGAAAACGTAAATGGAATAGTTTTATTATTTAAATCAATTGTAATATTATTCTTGCTATAACAGCAGTTTTCTCCAGGAAAATTGTCCGTCATGATGGATACTGGAGAAAGTGGACAATCTCTTCTTATCATTATGTCTGTAAATTGTCCGTCATGATGGATACTGGAGAAAGTGGACAATCTCTTCTTATCATTATGTCTGTAAATGTCTGATAGGAAGAAATTTTTCCAATTCTTAAAGATTAAAAACCAGACTTCTCCCCTGTAATAATATCAAGGAGAAGATTTGAAAACTAGGATTTATAGCAGAACACTAGTGATCTCAGATTACTACAAGGTCAACCTAGGTTAGTTGTAAAACTTAAGGTCAACTAAGGTCAAGGTTACGAAAATTAGTGTAATAATATCCAACCTGATGTTCTGCTTTACTGGCGAATATGGAAGGTGGCGCACAGTCGTATTCCACAGCATTGAGCTGACCCATTGTTCCCTCATTCTCAAAATTTTTACCAATAGCCTTCCCCAGCAGATAATCTTCCTAAGAAAGGCCGTTTCAGTCAAATTTCATGGTTTTAGATAGACATTTTTGTTAAAAGTTTTTCAAACCTTATTATTCTCTGTGTTCTGATTGTACATCCAGTCTGTATCTCCGCCATCTTTTTTCTCCCCCGCCATTTTGTTTTCTGAAAGTAACCATGTGAGAGAGTGCCGCGGTAATATAACAACAGAAATCTGACGCACAAGACGCAGACAAAGAAGTTAAGAATGTTTTCTCATATTAGGGCTGGTGGGCGTGGCAGATGGCGAATGTGTGTGGCAGGGTGGATTATTTCTGTCTGAATGAGTGTAGAGGATTGAAGAGTTTGGACCAGACTATTGTTTGGATGGCTCTCCTCCATGTTTACAGGACACCTGAACAAGAAAGTATGTTTTAGTTTCATGTCAAAAGTGGAGACCTTTAAGACTGCAAACGTAACTACGAGACAAGTAAACCTTCAAAGCATATATGGTGGTATTTATCAATTCACAACGGCACCCTTAAAATTCTTCGTCTGGTGAAGAATGAATGAGATATTCAGGTTTTTGTCTTTAAAAATTTATTTCAATTGTGGACTCTCTACAAAAGTTACTTAGGGATTTCTGCGTACAACAATGAAGAAAATTGTCAGAAAAAAAACAACTAAAGCTAATAGAAATTACGATATTCCAAATTATTAAAAAGATTAAGGTTTAAAGGGAAACCCTTAGAATCGGAACTACCCTCTTTAAATGAAGGGTCACTTGCATTAAAACGACACAGTCCCTTTAAATTAAAGTTTAGTTGCTCCTTGGCCTCCTTCTTCCCCCCTCACCTGATTAAATAATCTGTCCTTGATGATCTGTCCGAGCATCCCGTTCAACACCTCCCCAGTGATCTTGCAGGCGTCCGTCGTAGCTTTACTCAGTTTGTCGTCTGCCTTCTTCTCACTACCCTCGTGTCCCATGACGTATCCTCGGCCCATCTGGTTATCCCAGGTCTCCAGCTTGTCCGCCAAGTCAAAGATCTATAAAATACAGATATGAAATTTCGCGATAGCATATTCCTTTATTATCTTTCTATCCTTCTATAAAAACATTCTCCTGGTTCAACCGAGGCCCCTCATCAATATTCGAGGCAAATCGGTCAAGGGGTTTAAGAGTTATGATCGGACAAACAAACAAACTCAAAAATAGCAAAATAGCGATTACTACTGAAGAAGAGTGACTTTTCTAGGTTCTACCTCTACTCAAAGTTCAAGAAACACCCCTGACCAGTTAAGACAGCCTACGCCCCATGGCAAAGCCGAATTGAAAGCAGAAATGAATTCATGCTTGAGTTAATAATCATACTACCGATGAGAAAAGTTATGATATCTTGATCAGCCTCATCCCTCCACCCCCCTTACCCCTCTCTTCACCTACTGAAAACCATTCAGGGGCAGAACATTCGTCTCGCTCTGTTAGACAGACCCTGACAACCTTAGAGTTACATCCACAGAAAGACAGGAGGAAAAGGTTCTAGAATTTGTTCGAAGTAGTTTTAGCGCGATTAGGATGCGCTAAACAGAGCGAGAGATAGAGAGACGCGCACGGCGCACTAAAGTATAAAAAGAGGGAGATGTCAACGCGCGTCAATGTTCGAACTAAGTCTAGTGCAACAAGGATAAATCCCAGAAAGGATGTGGGCTCCTTTAATAAATTAACCTCCGAACTTCAACTTGAATTAAATAAGGAACTGTCCTTTGTTTTCCCCTTTAAATTTTGTTTGCAACCTCGTTGTTTAGTCCGAGTTTGGTTTTCTCAAAAGTTACCAACCCCCAACCCTTGTTTTAAGTTTCCCCCTCCGGAGTAAGCGGATAACCGCGCCTGAATTGATTAACCCTAACCACCCTGTCTTAATTGTTCCACTCTACCTTCATTTGAATTAAAAGGTGATTTCTCTTTAAAACTAGAACCCCCCCTCCCCCCCTCCTATCTTCTCCCATTTCTTAGATTTGATTGCAGAAAATTTGCACAGTTTGGTTTAGCATATAAATTTATATCGAAACTGTTAAATAATTAATTTTGTAGTATAACCTATCAGTATAAAGCTTGCATATTTTACGGTAAAGTATATGTAGTGTGTATGATATCGAAATCAGTATTGAGACTTTGCATAAAACTAGTGTATTGAAATCCTTGCAATAGATGTATATATTCTCATAAATTGTGTAACTTGTTCTATCCAATAAAATAACATTAGATTTATCCTCGTAAAATATTTAAGACATAAACCGTAACACATAGTATAAAATGAAAGAGAGAGAGAGTTCATTTTACAACGAATTAGCAATTTATTAACTGTGCTAATCAGTCCCGATACTCGCGAGCTTAACGAGAATTCTAGATTTTGAACCAACCAACCTAGTCGAGATAAAACAAGTTTATTCACTACTTTATACATAAATACATCTTAAATTTTTTTTTACCTAAAGTAATGTATTTCGATTTCTAACGAAATTAGAGTGTAAAATAAGTTCACATGATTAAAAACGTTCCCTGATAATTTAATATTTCTTGAGTCTCATTGTTTGTGAATTATCCTGTAATTTATATTGCTTTCTACTTTTCTCAAAATATTAATCAACTGTAAACTTTCTAAACGATTGTTAGTATATATAGCCAACATTTTTGTGTTGCGCAATGTAGCAATATTTTTGGCAACCTTTTACCGACTAGGCTGTTGGGATTGCTTTTCTTAACTAACTTAATAACTATTCTCTGTTTAGGATGGATATCAAGATGGAAGAATGGACTTAATTCTAAAGAATAGATAATCACACCAGATGTTGTCTTATAGGTTTTCTCTAAATTGAAAATAAAGAGCTTAATTACACCAGTCCTTATGGCTATGAGTTTTATGCAAATATTTTGATCATTTACTAAATAATTCTTTTCTTCCTCTTGTAGGGTAGAACCTTTTATATTTTATATAGTAATCATAATTATTATTGTCCAATTTTCTATTAAATAGATCTTTTAAACTTGACGTAAATATTCGAACTCCGACGGAAACGAGGCCAATCCAACCTTTAACAGATGTGGTTTAGATTAGAACCTATCGAGTATCAAACACTCGATACAAGGCAACAGTAGTTCAAAAGGTGTACAAAATATTAAACATTTTAGGAATTTTTTCTTCATATTTGCATTCATTTTTGAGAAGCTAAAAGCGTTTACATTTTTTTACACCCTTTGACATGCATAATCTATAAAATGTAATTCTCATTATTTTTGGGACAACTCGTAACTGGCAACTTCTACGCAAAACATGAAGATTTAAGAACAACATTTATGTCAACAACTTAAATATTTTGGCAATAACAGCATTCCTTAAAGGAGTGTTCGCGAAAGATGAAAGGGGGGATAGGCTTCCGGCGAAAAATAATCGCTTTTGATCGCCACTTATCTCGCTTCTATCTGTTGCGTCATAAGGAGAAAATTGTTAAAAACGACTTATACCGAAGAACGTAGCGTCCATACAAATTAAGAAATTTCCAACATTCATCTCTGATCGTAAAAAAAAATCAATTTAATTCCAAACAAACCATTCAGATATTACAACCAATAGTCATCGATTATTTTTCGACACATTCGTAAATAGTTAATGAAACGGTGGGTCTCCAATGAAAAGGTGGGTCTCCAATGAAAAGGTGGGTCTCAAATTAAAAGGTGGGTCTCAAATGAAAAGGAGGGTCTCCAACGAAAATGTGAGTCTCAAATGAAAGGGTGGGTCTCAAATTAAAAGGGGGGTCTCCAATGAAAAGGTGGGTCTCCAATGAAAAGGTGGGTCTCCAATGAAAAGGTGGGTCTCCAATGAAAAGGTGGGTCTCAAATTAAAAGGTGGGTCTCCAATGAAAAGGTGGGTCTCCAATGAAAAGGTGGGTCTCCAATGAAAAGGTGGGTCTCAAATGAAAAGGTGGGTCTCCAATGAAAAGGTGGGTCTCCAATGAAAAGGTGGGTCTCAAATGAAAAGGTGGGTTTCCAATGAAAAGGTGGGTCTCCAATGAAAAGGTGGGTCTCAAATGAAAAGGTGGGTCTCCAATGAAAAGTTGGGTCTCCAATGAAAAGTTGGGTCTCCAATGAAAAGGTGGGTCTCAAATGGAAAGGTGGGTCTCAAATGGAAATGTGGGTCTCAAATGAAAAGGTGAGTCTACAATGAAAAGGTAGGTCTCCAATGAAAGGGATGAAGTATACTCCAATAAACATGATCCTTCTCCACCTCAATTATTTAAATGTGTTCTTCATTCCTGAGCAAGTAAAAATATAAAACCTTTTTTTGTTGAACCCTGGGTCAATAATACATTACAGAAATTACTATTTTACTTTCTTAGCAACAACATTTGCGACGTTGCAATACTTTAGCAACATTGTTGCCATAGTTTTTATAATTTCGCAATTTCAAGGTTAAATGCTGGAGCAAACTGTTTAAAAATAGTAAGTTAAAAGTTAATGTATATTCACAATACTAATAGACAATGAGAAGATAATGCATTGAATGATTGACCCAAATTATTATCATTATTATTTTGTTCAAATTAGACAATGTTAGGACATTACATGTTAAAATCAGACAATAAAAGACATAACATGTTCAAATTATTAGACAAAATGAAGACACAAGATGCTAAAATTACTCATTTATTATTATATCACCAATCCACCTACAGTCAAAGTATCATGAGCTGTAGGTTACTTTTTACAGATCCAAATTTAAAATTAAATAATCTTCTGGTAAAATTTTTCCCAAAAACCCCGGAATTTTTATTTGAAATACCTGTCCTGTAGTGTACTCTGAGTTAGTGAGTAGAGAGTAGGAACTACTAAACTACCTGTCCTGTAATGTACTCGGAGTTAGTGAGTAGGGAGTAGGAACTACTAAACTACCTGTCTTGTAATGTACTCTGAGTTAGTGAGTAGGGAGGAGGAACTACTAAACTATCTGTCCTTTAGTGTACTCTGAGTTAGTGAGTAGGGAGTAGGAACTACTAAACTACCTGTCCTGTAGTGTACTCTGTTTTAGTAAGTAGGGAGTAGGAACTACTAAACTACCTGTCCTGTAGTGTACTCTGAGTTAGTGAGTAGGGAGTAGGAACTACTAAACTACCTGTCCTGAAGTGTACTCTGAGTTAGTGATTAGGGAGGAGGAACTACTAAACTACCTGTCCTGTAGTGTACTCTGAGTTACTGAGAAGGGAGGAGGAACAACTTAACTACCTGTCCTGTAGTGTACTCTGAGTTAGTGAGTAGGGAGGAGGAGCTGAGCGTGTTGACCCAGTAGTGGTTCCACAAGGAGTCAAGTAGTGCCTACAACAAGTCGTGAATTAATATTGTGCTTAAGAAATTATGTACATAACAACGACGAATATGAGTTTTTAGCTTCATATGACAAAGCTACGATAGAAATTTTCTTATAAAGCTTTAATCAGTTTCGGCATCAGTAAAATGTTTAAGAGGTCAGATGAGTCATAAAGTCTTATTTATTTATTCTTTTAAATACCTTCTGAGTGGGAAACGCATTTAAGCACTTTAATGTGTAATTGATGTCATTATAAAACAAATAGTTTTAGGAGTAGCTTACTAATTAAGTTATTATAGGTTTGTGTGTACTGCACAATTGCTATGTTTCTATGTATATTTGACTATTTAAAATCATAACTTGAGTCTACCAGTTTTATGTGTCTCACCCTATATTTTAATATAGAGTGATCACTGGTCAGTATATATAAATTAATACGAAATCATTTACTGAAATAGTAATATAGTACAGAGACTGACATATTTTTCAATACAATAGATCTGGTATTTAAATGCTACATAATACGATACGATACGAGAAAAAAAACGTAATAATGGGAATTCTTAAACGAGATGAAATTATCTTGATGTATTCTTTGACGAAGGCTTGAGTTAAGGACTACATCATCATGATTATTTCATCGAGTTTAAGAATTCCATATTTTTATTTTCACGGGCAGCCGTAGTACATTTGAATTTCCGAGCCGGGTCAACCTTTCCGGTCCCAGTTTGTACTGTATCGCCCGGACATTGGGTAAATAAAGCAGACACTCAATCCGGTGCAAAAAGGTTGACGCGGTCAGACTTTAAGTTGAATTTACTTTTACTAAAGCGTCAGGGGTGCGTGTTTTTACCCTCAAAAGATTAATATTATATCATATTTGTGAAGTTTCATCAGCAAATAATACCCAAGAAATTATTTTTATTAAAAATTCGTTTTAAAAACGACTAGATAAAGTTGGGATAATTGATATCATGAAGGGTTGCAAATAAGTTTTTATATTTCACTTATGCTCTTGTCCTGACTACAATTTTTGTTATCTTTCTAATGTTACAATGGTAAAATGTTAAAAACCCTTTTATAAGTAAAAATTGGTTCTTTATTTGTAAATAATGCATATGGTGTGAATGTTTCCTTAGTTTCTTTGTTTGTTTACTAATTTATAATGCGTTTGCTTGTGTTTTTAAGTTAAGGCTATATTTAGATTTAGCATGTTGAATGTACAGAGTTTTCAGATGGAGAAAAGGTAGAGAATAGAAGTGGGTTGTCTCAATCTACTGAAGATGGAGAGAAGGTAGAGAATAGAAGTGGGTTGTCTCAATCTACTGAACAAAAGTACAGAGTTTACAGATGGAGAGAAGGTAGAGAATAGAAGTGGGTTGTCTCAATCTACTGAACAAAAGTACAGAGTTTACAGATGGAGAGAAGGTAGAGAATAGTAGTGGGTTGTCTCAATCTACTGAACAAAAGTACAGAGTTTACAGATGGAGAGAAGGTAGAGAATAGAAGTGGGTTGTCTCAATCTACTGAACAAAAGAACAGAGTTTTCAGATGGAGAAAAGGTAGAGAATAGAAGTGGGTTGTCTCAATCTACTGAACAAAAGTACAGAGTTTACAGATGGAGAGAAGGTAGAAAATAGAAGTGGGTTGTCTCAATCTACTGAACAAAAGTACAGAGTTTTCAGATGGAGAGAAGGTTGAGAATAGTAGTGGGTTGTCTCAATCTACTGAACAAAAGTACAGAGTTTACAGATGGAGAGAAGGTTGAGAATAGAAGTGGGTTGTCTCAATCTACTGAACAAAAGTACAGAGTTTACAGATGGAGAGAAGGTAGAGAATAGAAGTGGGTTGTCTCAATCTACTGAACAAAAGTACAGAGTTTACAGAAGAAAATATTTGCTGGATATTAGATCCTAAATCTTCAAAAAAAGGAAAGAAAATCAGGTTATCTCGCAAGAACTAGTTCAAGAAATGAAATGAGATCTTTGTCTTTTATTCATGAATCAAGATTTATTGGTTTGTTTTTACTGTTATGGAGTGCTAAGACCCCACATAAAGTTTGTGACACTAATATTTCGATGACTTGTTTCTATAAACTAACATTCAATGTTTTTGATTGTGGTACCATTTCAACTCAAGCTATGTTAGATATGGTGAGTGGCGACTGCTGAGGAAAAAGCAGTTGATTGAAATTGTGAAAAACATGAAACCTTTCCATTTTGGAAAAGCTCTGACCGTTCTATTACAAATATGCAGATATTTTCAAAATCTTACAAAACTTGGTTTGGAATAAAGAAAAACTGAAAATTGTTTGAATTAAGTAGGCAGTCGGGCAATATTCTTTGAGACTCAGACAGTTTGATGAAAAAGCCTTATATAAGGCTTAAAGCATTGTCCATATTTTTTTTAGGAAAGGTCAGAAAATTTCTTAATGAGATTCTCTCTTCTGTCAGGACTAAGCTAGGTCAAGATTTGAATGGAAATTTCTGAATCAAGGTATATCAATACTTTTAAAAATGAAAAGGCAAGGGAGCATGAAAAGATAAGTTTGTATGTTTTAATATAAAAAAGGTAAGTAAGCATGATGTTATGAAGTAAAAAAGGTAAGTTTGCATATTAATATAAAAGAAAAAGGTGGGTGTGCATGTTGTTTGTACAAAATAATTAAGTTAATATCAATATTGATCTATGTTGAAAAGATCAATTTAAGGAGCGTGTAATAATGAATATTCTTCAACTAGTGTAATAATCTGCATTCTGTAAGAATAATGGATATACATTCTTTCACGCTCTGACCGTGTATGAATTTCCGTTCTTACACGGTTTGAGCGTTAAAGAAGGAAAATTTTACACTCCCAGTGTAAGAATAAGCATTCTTAAACGCTAGGAAGAGAACAATATTGGATATTTTTTTCTCCTGAACCGTGTAATAATGGAAATTCTTACATAATAGATTAACTACTATGGAACCGAACATATATGATATAATAAAGAATAGTTGGTATAATTTTATCAATGAAATTGTTTTATATCACCATTTCGGCCAGTAACCGACACTGTATTAATATATATGCTGACCACTGTAAATGTATATAAATGTCACCTTATCCATATTTGACTTGAAGTACGAAACATCTAGACTGTAATACTGTTTACAGTGAACTCCAAAATCCTCAATCTTGTTTAGAGGGATAGTTTGGTACTCACTGGTCTCCTCATCAGGGGGTTTATACCCCTTCGGATAGGTACGGAAAGCCCCTAAAAATTTTTATTTAAAATTTTTTTTTGGCTTTGTAATCAAAATCAAAAAATTTATTTATACTTTTTTTCATATTTAACTTAATACTGAACAATTTTGGCCCTTTTTTCAATAAAAGTTTTGTTCCACTGTTAATTTTGATTTACATTCTTATTCTTATCATTTCTATGCGATTTTTTGTCTCATAATAACATTTTGAAATTTTTGTTACTTTACTACTTACCTAAGTTGACCTTCCCTGCTGAAATAGTTCGGATTGGATCAACTACTATTGCAACAAAGGGATCCTAAAATAAATGTTATTTAAAGGGACAGCCTAACTTTAAGGGACCCTGGATGCAAAGATGGGAAATGGTAATACCCGATGTTTAACGTTACCCCTTAAACCTTTGTCCAACCAATTGTATAAACTGTTAATTATTTTAAAAGTGATTTCTCTACAAAATTTAATTGCGCATTTCTAGTGGATGTGAGCAATTGGAATAAATTATCAGAATTAAGAACTTAGAAACCAAGCAAAGGGGCAATATATTCCCCTTTATAAATCATGCATTGTCATCTTTGCAAGGAGGGACATTAAAAATTTTGCTTAGTCTCCTGAATTGAAATTAAGAATCTCTTTATTTAAAAGAGTTTAATAACACTTGTACCTGAAAATTCTGATTCAGCATTTGAGTAGAAACATCAATACCAGACAACCAACATCCGTATCCTGTGAAAACAAATATATTTACTTTTTGCTCTTTTATGATCTTTCTTCTCTTTGATTATGTTTACTATATTATTATAATAAACAGTAAACCATCATTTCGTGGCAATCAAGTTTAAGCTCTATCAGAAGTACCGTAAATATTTTTATTCGGTCTACTCTTGTTTTACTTTCTACTCTTTTTTATTTCTACTCTCTGTCTGGAAGTTTCTAATAAACGTCAATACGACTAAACTGTTTTGGCTCTTTTGTGGGGGACCTCACATAAGCCCAGGAAAGGTTTATGATTCTCCTTGTCTTTCTTCTTACCTTTACTTTTCCTCCTTTCTACCTTTTTCCCCTTTGAATTCCTTCTGTACTGTACTGTACTGTAACTCTGCAACTGTATTGTACCTGGATGTGAATGGTACCAACCAATGGCATTCTCCAGTCTTCCAACTTGTTTGGCAGATTCTATGTACGCTGTCATGTACTCGTATCTAAAAAAAAGTATAAAAATTTAACTATTAAAAAAAGTGTTTGTATATATTAAGTGCATTTTTTTAAGTGGATTTCTAAAATAAGAAAGCACGTAAGTGTGACATACATATATCTTAGTTTTAAATTAAAGGATAACTAAAGGTAACTAACCCCTGGGTCTGTGACATACATATATCTCAGTTTTATATTAAAGAATAACTAAAGGTTGACTAACCACTGGGCCTGTGATATACATATATCTCAGTTTTATATTTAAGGATAACTAAAGGTTGACTAACCCTTGAGACTGTGACCTACATATATCTCAGTTTTATATTAAAGGATAACTAAAGGTTGACTAACCCCTGGGTCTGTGACATACATATATCTCCGTTTTATATTAAATTATAACTAAAGGTTGACTAACCCCTGGGCCTGTGACCTACATATTTTTCAGTTTTATATTAAAGGATAACTAAAGGTTGACTAACCCCTGGGCCTGTGACATACATATATCTTAGTTTTATATTAAAGGATAACTAAAGGTTGAATAACCCCTGGGTCTGTGACATATATCTCAGTTTTATATTAAAGGATAACTAAAGGTTGACTAACCCCTGGGTCTGTGACCTACATATATCTCAGTTTTATATTTAAGGATAACTAAAGGTTGACTAACCCCTGGGACTGTGACCTACATATATCTCAGTTTTATATTAAAGGATAACTAAAGGTTGACTAACCCCTGGGCCTGTGACATACATATATCTCAGTTTTATATTAAAGGATAACTAAAGGTTGACTAACCCCTGGGTCTGTGACCTACATATATCTCAGTTTTATATAAAAAATATCTAAAGGTTGACTAACCCCTGGGCCTGTGACATACATATATCTCAGTTTTATATTAAAGAATAACTAAAGGTTGACTAACCCCTGGGTCTGTGTCATACATATATCTCTGTTTTATATTAAAGAATAACTAAGGGTTGACTAACCCCTGGGTCTGTGACATACATATATCTCAGTTTTATATAAAAGGATAACTAAAGGTTGACTAACCCCTGGGCCTGTGCGTTCACCCTGGTTTCTGTTCCTTCCACTGGTAGAGCAAAGCTATCCATCACAACCATCACGTTGGCGTCCACCTTACCCAGCAGTAAACCCATTATCTCAAGATTTCCACCAGATCTAATAATAATATTATTATACAGTCCACCCTACCCAGCAGTAAACCCATTATCTCAAGATTTCCACCAGATCTAATAATATTATTATACAGTCCACCCTACCTAGCAGTAAACCCATTATCTCAAGATTTCCACCAGATCTAATAATAATATTATTATACAGTCCACCTTACCCAGCAGTAAACCCATTATCTCTAGATTTCCACCAGATCTAATAATAATATTATTATACAGTCCACCCTACCCAGAGGTAAACCAATTATCTCAAGATTTCCACCAGATATAATAATATTATTATACAGTCCACCCAACCCAGCAGTAAACCCATTATCTCAAGATTTCCACCAGATCTAATAATAATATTATTATAGAGTCCACCCTACCCAGCAGTAAACCCATTATCTCATAATAATAATATTATTATACAGTCCACCTTACCCAGCAGTTAACCCATTTTCTCAAGATTTCCACCAGATCTAATAATAATATTATTATACAGTCCACAAACATATATCTCTGTTTTATATTCTGATGTGCTTCCTAGATCCGGATCCAATGGAAGTGCTTCCTAGATCCGGATCAAATTAATGTGCTTCCTAGATCTGGATCAAATTAATGTGCTTCCTAGATCTGGATCCAAAGAATGTGCTTCCTAGATCCGGATCCAATGGATGTGCTTCCTAGATCCGGATCCAATGGATGTGCTTCCTAGATCCGGATCCAATTGATATGCTTCCTAGATCCGGATCCAATTGATATGCTTCCTAGATCCGGATCAAAATTAAATGGATCCTAAGCACTGGTTCCTTCCCCCATTTAAACATGAAAACGTTTTATCATTTTTTATAATAATACAATTTATAAGTTTTACTTTTTTTAATTTCTCTATTTAAAGGAAACTCTTTTTTGTTATTTATTGTTTAAGTTGTTTACTGCAAGCATTTTGTTCTTGACCTACAGAGTTTACCCTTACCTTGCATGCATTACCATCTTCAGAAGTGCAAGAGCAGATATTTTAATATCCTGATTTATATTCAATATTATTATATTTTCAGATCTCGTAAATTCATTTCTCATTTCTTTTAAGTAACATTCATAATTTACAATTCAGGCTCTTTGCTTTAAATATAATATCAATGATCATTAATATATTAATGAAGTGTTTAGATATTAAATAAAGCACTAGCTTGGGAATCCAGCTTTGCCTGGACCAACGACTTCCCCAAATCAAAATTTGATGCAAATCGGTCAAGGGGTTCAAGAATTGTGATCGAACCTACACACAAACTTACATACTAGAACAGTATCTAAAAATATTTTCATATTCCTTGAAGAAATGTGGATCCTTCTCCCAGGGTTTGGCTGCTAGTAAGGACTGCTGCTGCTCACGGTCATACTTGTAGATCTCATCACCAGCTGATACCTTCAATCAATAATCAATCAATATATATTTGGATTAATAATTCTCTTTATCAATCAATTAATCGCTTATTTAGAAAATTAATCAATTTACAAATCAAATCAAATATACTAAATCAATCAAATACAACATTTTATCAATCAATCAAATATTGAATCATCTAATCGATTTATTAGCAAATCAACAAACCGATGTTTTTTTTTTTTATATTTACATGTTTTTTACTTTTAGATAAGTATGCATTTAAAGTTTTAATTTCGTGTCTATTTCTGAAGCTAACCTCCATCACACTGTTCGTCAACTCCCATGTTTTCTGCGCAGTTTTAGACTGACTTCCGCTTCCGGACGCCATTTTGTTTTCTGCAAAATTAACAACAAAATTAGGACGCACAAAACAGGACAATAACGAGGACAGAATAGGGTTTAATGTGTACAATGAGTACAAATAAAAGTAATAACAATTGACTTGTAAACCGATGTACTGAGTAATTGAACAGAGTACAGTTTAAAAATCCGGTTTTTAATAACACAGAATTACTCGGAAATGCCCAACCAGTCTAAAAGTACTGCAACGTCGTGCTGTACAACACACGAAGGGGTATTCGAGATGTAAATGATTAGTACTTCTCGTTGTTGTTTGTAACTCCGATGTAGATCTGAAGGGAGACTAGTCCAAGACAGAAGCTGACAACAGCATCCTAAAATATGGAAACAAATTAATTAATTGATTGACATAAACTAAAAAAAACGTCAAAACGGGATTTAACTTTTTTTTTTTAAATCCACCAATGAAAACGAAAATTCTGCGAATACACAATGCTCTAATCCCTAAACTAAATTGACCTGCATAAGGTTGACCCAGCTGCCTAGCTGAAGATAGTGACTAGCTGCGCCGACCAGAACACCCTTGTAGCAGGCTACAGCTACAACCAATCCCAGTACACCGGTCAGTCTGGACAAGATTTAATTAAACAAGAGAAGTATTAGTTTTATGACTATTAACCATAAACAAACAACAAACAAGCAGTCAAGCAATATTTCAAAATGTCCTATTTATAGAATTATTTTCTTTTTTGTTGTTTGAAAAATGTTAACTTAAAAAAGCATTTAATCGGCCTATTGATTTTTTTGGCGAGTGTTGCGAAGAGCAGTTTCGTACCGTATCGTATTTAATATGACACCTACATTTTTCATGACCAATTTGTTCCACTTATTTTACTTTTAATTTATATGAGTTAATAATAATGAATAAATTAACGTTACTCTCTATAGATGTTCTATTAAGAGACAATTTTAAAAATTCTAAAATGGGACATATTAATAAGAATAATAGAATAAATCTTAAAGCCCTCCAATATGGGAGACCTAGACCCGCCCACCCGGGTTAAGCACATACTGTAAAAGTTTACTTCCTGGAATAGAAAATATATCAGCCATTTCCTTGTATTTGCTTTAAAACTAAACAAGTTGTTTCCGACTCAGACTAAAATGGAAGATAACTATCTTATGATAGAGAAACATTGGAATTTTGTAGTTTAAGGGGTGTTGCACCCTGCATATGAGACGTACCCTGAGCTCTGGGCGGAGTCCTTCCTGGTCCAGGTCCAGACTAGACAGGCCAGGGTGATGAAGTGAACCAAGGAGATGTTTGCGTCCAGGGACTTCTGGATGTACCTACAACAAGTCAAATTACAATCACAATCGCAATCACAAACACATTTCAAGGATTATAAAAAATAAGAAAGAAGTGATCGATAGTAAAAAATCACATTTAAAAAATTAGAAGACAACCTTAAAAAAACTCTTACAAATGGGAGTACCGTCTGCAAACCATTTATATGTTTATGGTAGGGCGGGCCATGTCGATTCCTTCTTACTTATATTCCATACTCCTTGTCCCCCCACCCACATTTATATCCCATTTTTCAAATATTTAACCTTCATTCTGAAATAAATATTTTCAGTTTTTATGTTTTTATGTTACCTCCAGTCAAATTCTACTCCCCTAGCTCCGACCCAGAGGAAGACGAGACGGGTCAGGATTAGTTCAGCTGTAGCCCAGCCTAACCCAGCAACCAGGATCTTCACACTTCCTTTGCCTAATCAATCAATCAATCAATCAATCAGTTCAGCCGTAGCCCAGCCCAACGAGGGGGGGGGGGGAGTGCAGAATTAAACAAACGCAAAACACGTTTGGGTGGCGTTTGTTTACTTCTGCACCCCCCTCACTCGCCCAACACTGCAACCAGGATCTTCACACTTCCTTTGCCTAGTTAATCAATCAATCAATTAGTTCTGCTGTAACCAAGCCCAGTACAACCCAGCAACCAGGATCTTCATGCTTCCTTTGCCTAGCTAGTCTGTCAATAAATAAATTCATCAATTAACCAATCAATTATTGAATTAATACCAATCAATCAATCAATCAATCAACTAATAGTTATTAAATCAAAACTTCAATTAATTAACCAATCAACCAATCAATTTATCTTTTGAAAACGGGGGTTGTTCTCCTCTTAAAGTAATACAATGAAAAATGTTAAAATGTTGCTACCTGAGACTCTCTGCATGACCAGGTAGATGCCAATAAGATCTGCGATATCAACAGTAGCGCGGAAGAATTCGTGCATCAGGTCGAATGCCTGAGAACTCTGAAGAAGGAAAAATAAACAATTATTCCAGTATTGAAGAGAATGTTTGCAAAAATAACATTGGGTGAAGGAGGACGTGCAAGTGCTATATTTCTAAGGCATTTTTCAGAAGTAGGTCAAAAAAGGAAGGGTGGTGGTAATGTTGGGGGCGAAGGAGTAAAAAGTAGAAGGTACGGTTGGTTTGAAGAGGGGAGAATGAGGGAGGTGGATCAAAACAATTTACTTACATCTTCCTCTTCTAGCTCTGGCATAGGGAAGAAGGTCGCGAGGAACATCATCTTAGCCAACTGTGTTAACATGTACATAACACCAGCTTGTCCAACCTACAGAACAATTTAATAAATGTGTTAAAATATACAATGTACAATTGTACATAACTCGGCAGTCTGTCCAGCCTACCTTCCAGAAAGCCCCGTACTCTGCTAGTCCTGTGAACTTGTACGTAAGATAGTACGGTGTGTACGCCAGGGCGAGGCAGTTGGCGAAATGGTACAGTGTCATTCTATCTGAAATATTCACAGTGGATACAATGAATCCCGACAAGGGTTTATAAATACAACATTCGAGAAGCAAGGGCGTATACAGGATTTTGTCCAGGGCGGGGAGGGTAAACTCTTTTGAAACTTTAAGGGGGGGGGGGGGGCTCAGCCACAGTTAGGAATGAAAACCCACTGGAAACCTACAAGACGGGGTGGGGCGCCTGTATACGCCCCTGTCGCAAAGAAAAGATTTTATTCATATATCTATTTAAAATATGTTACTGGGATGATTTTATTAAAATATCAACTGAACCTTCTTAAAAAAAAACTGAATTTAGAAACACTAAGCAAAGACAACATCTTGATGTCTGAAGTTTTAACTACAATTAGAAAATTAAATATGCTTTTAAACACTAATTTAAAAACCTATACTTTGGAATAAATTAATCACAGATAAGTTAGAATATGAAATAATTTTTAACGAGGATTTAATTACATCTAAAGTAGAACAATTCGAAGTTTACAGTTTGGCAGACAACTATGTATCACGGCAAATTGATGAAAAGATGGAGGGGGGGAGGATACTGAGTTTTAGGAAAATATGAATCCTTATTTCACCAGGAAGATACGGAAAGAAGCCCACTGTCCCGAACCTGCAAATTAAGAACAATTATTTTCAAAATATAATAAATTTTATGAAACAAAACACTTTAAATGATAATGATATTTAATCTTAAGATAAGATCAAAAATGTTATTTTCAGCACAAAATAGATTGATTTTTTTTCTTAAAGTCTATTTCTGAAATGAAAACTTTTTAAATGAGAACAAACATAAAGGTCAGATACAGTTTTAGAGATTTATTATTGGCTAAGAAACAATCTAAAAACGTTGTACTACAAAGATCGGATTAGTGCTTTTAGTGGGGATTAAAAAGTTAAACTGCTCTGACCTGACAGTGAGAACAATATCATCCTGTTGTCCAGACAAATGGTTCAAGACGCAAATCCTGATCAAATTATAATATTTATATAATCAATTTATATAGTTTAAATCTGATTTAAGACCAGTTAAAACTGTGAAAAATGCTTAAAATCCAGTTGAAACTATTAAACCCCCAAAGAACACCAGTTTAATTCCAGATGCAAGCGGTTAAAAGGGGGGGGGGCACAAAACGTATTACTCTCCGGAAAATTTAAACAGTGGTTAAACATAACTTAGAATTGTCGTAGGAGGCTGATTTTTTGCATGCAAATTCCTTCAAAACCAAAAAATGCACATAATATACATAATTCTGAGTTTGCATGCAAAAAATCAGCCTCCTACGACAATTCTAAGTTATGTTTAACCACTGTTTAAATTTTCCGGAGAGTAATACGTTTTGTGCCCCCCCCCCTTTAGTTTAAACCGGTTTAAAAATGTACCTGAGGCAGGGAAGAGTTAAGGGCATCCATCATATCAATATTCTAGAAAACATTTTTCATATTAATTGATAAAACAATAGAAACGCGTAGATCAATGGTTGGACCCTGAAATACGGTAGTTTCAACCAAACACAAGCTGCCAAACCTTGCTCTAGTCTTGATTTAGTAACGCCGATTTTCCACAAAATCTCTTTTTTCAAAGAATGTTTAAATCTTAAGATATATTATAGCGCTGAATCCGCTTCAAAATACAATGAATCAATGAACTGTAGTATAAAAATTAACAATAAAATTAATCTGAATATTTTCCTCGTTTAGAAGCATATGACATTTAGCTAAACTCCTGGATATATCACGAACAGTTGACAGCTTCTCACAGTGCTTCTCATATCTTTTCTGCCGTTCCTAGGTAGGGAGATAGGTTGGTAGCTAATTAGACAGGTAGATGGAGAATTAAGGCAAGTATATCGGAAAGACACGAAGTCGTAGGTAGACAGTTAAATAGACTAGACAGGTAGGTAAACAGGTAAGTAAGTAAACAGGTAAAATGGTGAAAAGGCAGGTTGGTAGTCAGACATCAACATAAAGTGACAATAGAAAGATTAGAAATAAAGAATGATAAATAGATAACCAAACAACTAGAAAGATAAACTATTTATTTAGATATATGTTTTACTATTTAGATAGATAAATAAACACGAGGATTTGTAAATAAATTAATACACAGGTAAAATTTAAAAATACCTGCAAACTGTTTGCAATTGAAACTACATCATTTTCCACGTCTTTTATTCTCCTACAAAAATAAATCAATTAATTCTAACTAAATATGGAAACTTATTTATACAAACATTTTTATGCAATACTTGTCATGATGTGTAAAGTAGATCAAAAAGTGTTTATATGTGTTTTTTACACAGAGCTTCATTTCACAAGAATAAACTTGTTTCCGCAACTATTGTTAGAAAATTCACAGAAAAGAATAAAAATCACAAAAAAATGGTTTATTACAAAAAAAGGTAAAGTAAGAGCATAATTTCTAGAAAATATTTACCTGGAAATAGTTCCCTGATCCCCAGCAACCCTGGCAGCGCACTTTCGTAAATGATCTTCGTACTTCTGTAAGATAATGTTGATTGGAGCTGGATCTAATCTGGATAATATCTCAGCATACTCAGATCCTGGTTTCCCTGCTTGAACACTGGCCTGCATTATCGGGATAAAACAAGGAATCTCCTGAATACACAAACATATCAATCACTCAATCAATCACTCAATCAATCAATCAATCAATCAACCAACCAACCAACCAACCAACCAACCAACCAACCAACCAAATAAAGTGAGACAAATTGATTGATTGAGAAATATGGATTGAATGAGTAGTTATGTTTGATTGAGAAATACGGATTGCCTGAGTAATAATGTTTGATTGAGAAATATGGATTGAATGAGTAATTATGATTGATAGAGAAATACGGATTGCCTGAGTAATTATGGTTCAATGAGAAATATGTATTGACTGAGTAATTATGGTTCATTGAGAAATATAGATTGACTGAATAATTATGATTAATTGAGAAATATGTATTGACTGAGTAATCATGATTGATTGAGAAATATGGATTGGTTTGGAAATATTGATTGATTGGGAATTATTGATTTATTAGGGAATATTGATTGATTGGGAAATATTGATTGATTGGGAAATATTTATTGATTGAGAAATTTAGTTGATTGAAGAGAACTAAGTACAAACTACACAGTGACCCCACTTTGCATGAAGGAGCCTAAAGCAATCCCTAAACCTAATGTTTTGATTTATTGGAAAACCTTGATTAATTGAGTGGACTGAAAAATAAAGATATTTTGAGAAATATTGGTTGGACCCTATTTATTTACGGATTTATTAAAATTGTAAAAATAAATTGTTTGAAATGATGTTATCAAGATCAATAGACTATGTTTGATTGATTTAAAAACAACTTATTTAGTGAAATGGTTCTGTCAACACTAGAAGCTGTATTTCAGGCTTTTTAGACTATTAAAGTCGTCTTCCTATTCCCAAGTTTACTGGGTCTCATTGTATGTTGATTGTTATTCTACCTGAAGCCTGATGAGATCAATATCCCCTCTCATCTCCTCGTTTATCTTCAACTTGTTCACGGTAACCAGCGTGTTGGCAGCAGACTTGCTCAGCCTACTCATAACCATACTCATCTAACAGCCATACCAAACCAAACTAAATTAATTAATGGCAAATTAATTTTTATTACTTTAACGACTTATCTTCCCCGAGAAAAGTTTCCGTACTTATTTTTATTCTTTTTTCTTTCTGAACACTCTTGGGCCAATACTTAAAATTTGTACCTTGGAAACAAGATTTTTCTTTTTAATATTTTGGTCGACATTTTGACATTTTGATCAAACAGACTAAATAGGTTTAACAAGAAGTAAATTTTAATCATAAGAAAAATGTGACTTTCTGATTGAATACCCCCTGACAATAACATGGCAGGCAGATTACAAAGAATTTCTTCATCTGGACAATCTCAAAATTATTCCGTTTTCAGTTTTGACAAGGTTTTGTTAAATGAATATGTTCCTGGTTTGAGCTCTGTGTAGGCGGGGAGATGAGAATTTAGATCTAGAACTTGCTGGTTTACTCTTCTTAGGAGAGTCTCCTATAGGCTTGTTCACTGTGTAGGATACAAAAGGTACATCACTGTCACTACATACACTTCCCTGTCTAAATAATTTAAACAATAAGACAATCTCTAAAAAGTTCCGCCATTTTTTTTTTACAGAAATAAATGAAATAAAATTGGAATGGATGTCGTCTGCACTCCTCTTTTTAGCTTTAAATGACAATGGATATTTAGTATTGGACACCAATTTCAAAAGATAGAACCTTAAAAATTACAATTTTTTTATTGTATATTTCTGATTAAAAATAAGAGCAAAGATGAATATCATTTAGTATTCTTTTGTTTATTATTGTAGTATTGAACAGAATTAAGAAAACTAACAATTGAAGCAAAATTTACTCAAGTTTTCAAACGATATGTTAAAGTTATGAAGAGGAGATACGGTAATGTTACATCGTCTATATGCAACATCCCCCCTACTGTACTTCGGACCTACTAACTTTCCGACCTACTGCAATATTTCTGTATTATTTGAGAGTTAGGTTAAGTTAAGACAATTTCGGGACCGACCGCTGCTGCTAAGATAAGCTAGGGGGCCGAGCTCCACGGCTAGGGCAGGCTAGGGGGCCGGGCGCTGCGGCTACAAGTCCATATAGTAGCTGTAAAACCACTAGCTAGTAGATCGGATGTGTAGTATAGCGGATTTGGCGATAGTCAGAAGTGGAGTATAGCGGAATTGCGTAGGTCGAGAAATACACCACCATAAGTAAAGTTTACCTGGGAGATAAGGCGCCTTCTCTAAGTGCAGTCGTTGCTGGGGACTCAAGTACCTCAGGCAACTACGTAAATTATTTTTATTAGTAATAAATAATAAATTAATACATTTCATGATAAAGAGGTTGAAACAAAGTTATGACATTCAGGGTTACCCACAAAGTATGAGAATTATAAGTTGACCAGTTACTCTGCTGCTTTAAATATAGCCATTTAATAACGATTTTAAACAGAAATAAAGAAATGTAAAGCAGCAGAGCTTGGGACCTTGCCTGTATGAAAATAAATTGATTAAATTCTGTAGCATACATTATAAGTTTAGCCCAAGGATACATATTTTGATATCTTTAACATGTAATAATAATATTTTTGTTTGTTAAAATATCAATGATTGCAAATATTGATTTTTATGTATTAAGTTGATTTGCCGTAAACTTTGATCATCTTCATTAATTACCTGTTTCTCTTCAACTGGAGATTCTTTAGCCTGGGTGCTTTGCTCAGAACCCATTTAAAAAAGTTAACTTGGCTTCGATCTTATTCAATATTCTGAAAGAAGACGACAATCTAAAAAATAAAACTGGCGGATTTTCACAAAACAATTAAATTATAGTAATGCGCAAAATCAGGAATATCTACAAATATACTTTTGATGATCAGGGATAGATTGAGAAATTTGTACTAGCTTTAAGGCGGTTTAACTTCCAAAAATTTACTTTAAATATAGTATCCAATTAAAATTTTAATTTACTTTATGAAATGTTGAGTCGCTTCAAATTGGATTTATAATTCGACTTAACTAGAAAAATCTACATAAAATATACTTCTAAATTCTACACATACGTACAGATTCACAAAACAGAAATATGTGAAGACTCAGATAAGTTAGGACTGACAAATCTGATAATTATTACAATTTCATGGGTTTAGAATATTTTACAGAAAGTTTATGAACATTTATATTTCAATAGTTTCCACTTTCAAACGTAAAAATTAACAGAGCTGAAAACTTTAGAATAAGATATCATTAATCCCGATTACTTAATCTAAGTATCCAATGGACAAACTTTAGATTTTCTTCTTAAACCGTTCTTTCTTGGATATAGTAGAGAAAAATCAAAAACCGGTTTTTAAATTTGAGAATTCCTCCCGTTTCTGTATATTAATCTTAAATGGCGCGCAAAATTTCAAATTTATCGGCTTCATATACGCGACTCTGATTGGTTGAATTTTATACATTTTTCAGGATACAAGTACAAGATTAGGTTAGTCTCGATATTAAGAAAAAGAGAGGATTAAGCATTAATCTCGATATCCACCATTCTAAAGTTTTCAGCTCAGAAAAGATTTGAGACAACTTAACACAGGGATCTTAACTGAAAAGGGATTAAAACCCTTTTACATACATATATATATATATATATATATCCCGAAAATAAATGACTTCCCTCAAAGGCTTAAATTCAGCAATGAAATCTCCTATTCAGAACAATGAACAATATTAAATAGAAAAATGAAAAATTGCTAAAAAGTAAATATTTTTCCCGTCCTTTAATTCAAAATTTAGGAACATTGCAACCATAGGTGGTTTAATTTGAACTTCTCTCCGTGGTGTTCTAGTTTTTCTAGTGCTAGTAGTTCTAGTTCTTGTTCCTACAAACCTTCTTTACGCAGACCTTACAGCTAAGTTTACCCTGCCCACCAAAAGCAGGCTTATCCTAGCAGAGAAAATATAATTAGAGCGCAAGCAAATCTTCAATTTTTTGTAATTGTTTAATATTTTCCATCTTAAAATTTCTGTTCCAAGGAGGAAAGTACAAAAAAAGTTTTAGTTTTTTATTAGTCCCATTATTAAATCGAAGCGTGCAATGCAGGGATGGCTTCCAACATACAGATTGGGGGTTTAAGTCCCAGAATAGATAGACCAAGGACCATAGAAATGTTAAATTTAGACATAGTCATTGACATAGACAAAGGCATACACAAAGATATAGAAAAATGCAGGGATATAGACATTGCCAATAATAATAGCAGATGGCATTTCATCAAAATTATATATCTACCTGACATACAACACAATTCCCACAGTCAGGCAGTTTACACTTAACACACACTCCGCAACCAACTTTCCGGTCAATCTTCTTTACCGTCTCATTAACCTTTACAGGTTTAACTTTTCTAATCGATTCTGGTTTCTGAGTTGGTTCAGTTTTCTTGACTGGTTCAGCTTTCCTTGCTGGTTCTGTTTTCTTGACTGGTTCAGTTTTCTTTTCTGGTTCTGCTTTCTTGGCTGATTCGGTTTTCTTAGTTGGATCAGTTTTCTTGACTGGTCCAGTTTTCGTAGTTGAATCGGTTTTCTTGACTGGTCCAGTTTTCTTTGCTGGTTCTGCGTTCATGGCTGGTTCAGCTTTCTTAGTTGGTTCCGTTTTCTTTGCTGGTTCAGTTTTCTTTGCTCGTTCTGTGTTCATGACTGGTTCAGCTTTCTTAGTTGGTTCCGTTTTCTTTGCTGGTTCTGATTTCCTTGCTGGTTCAGCGTTCTTTGCTGGTTCAGTGTTCTTTGCTGGTTCAGCGTTCTTTTCTGGTTCAACGTTCTTTGATACATCTGCTTTCTTGACCCAAACCTCTTTAATTGGTGCTCGACGTTTAGGAGTTCCTATCTTCTTAGCATCCAACTTGGCTTTCATATTGACACTCTTCAACACTTTACTCACGTCAGCTTTCGTTGCAGACTTCATGGCAGGAGCAGCAGTAATTGCATCTTGAACTATGGCATCGTCAAGTATATCTTCAGTCTTTTCCTTAATAGATGGAGCAGTTTGTTTTATAGGTTGTGTCTGTTTTTGAATAGGCGTCTCTTGAGTTTTAAATGACTCCGAGGATTTTATCGGAGTATTGGGTTCTACTGCAGAATTGGGCAAAAGAACATTTGTTTTTTTGATAGTAATTATTCTCTTCGGGGTAGAGGTAAAGGGCTGGGGATTACTTGGATTCTTAACTCCAGGTGCGGGTGAGGAAGATGTGCTCTCAGATGCAAAGGACTCCAGGGTATTAACGTTAATATGAAGGAATGCAAGGTGAAGTGCAAATTCGTTTTCATCCCTGTATAGTTCGTTGCAATAGATGCAGATTGTTCTACTCTTAGCTATTTGGAACAGCCGTTCCTTAAAGTGATGAAGAACAAGGTGAACTTCCATCTGTTTGGTAAACTTCCCACAGTATTTGCATGTTTGAATCTTTCGCGCATTTGGGGCCTGAGACCGATGCAGATTTGGCGTGGAAACCCGTCTCCGAACTTGTTCTTTCCCGCGGTTTTTCTCGATCGTGATTGGTGATCGTACAGTTGAAGGCTCTTCAGGACATATGGCGTCGTCGAATGTAATGCTGGCGATCTCTGAGATCATGTTCATTCCTGGAGCTCCATCCTGGAGTCTTGCTAAACCCTCCATGGGTCCAATGGAATGCCTCATTTTCTCCACCTTTTCCAACCTTTTGGCTGTCCTCGCAGCTCTCCCTGAATCCTTGGGACAGATGTGCTTGTCAAAAGATCCCTTGAAAATAAATCCAGTTTTGCAGCGTTGACATCTAAAGTGCCTTTTAGGTTTTACTGTTAACAGTTTCTTATTTCTGAAAAAGATAAAATTGAGATAAAACTTAAACTAAAATTTGACTAAATTATGTTTATAACCTGATGGGTTCTCTTCCCTCTAGTACAGCTGGGAGGGGTTGAGTGGGACTCTCAACTATGAGACAGTCGTCCACCTCCTTATATAAAGAATAACATGTCAATACAGAATACAAGATAAAGGAAACTGTATGAAACAAGGTACAGTAAAGTAAACAAAGCATATTGGATACACTGAATATATGAAACTTGAGAGAGAGTACAGGACACAGGATAATTCAAGATACAGAACACAGGATAAAAACAGGATACAAGAAAAACAAAAAAATTCATGCATACATAATTAGAGTTACAAGAAGTAGAAAAGATTTGGACACTTATTACAGGAAATAGGATACAGGTAAGTACAATCCATAGGAGAGAATGCAGGATACAGGATACATGGTATTGAATCTACAGAATACAGGAAACACGATACAGTATACAAGGTACATGATATAAGATACAGAAAATAAAACGCCAAGCACAGGATACAGAATTTACAGAATACAGAACACAATGCATTGAATACAAAAACCAACTATATGGAAAATACATAAATTACTCATTTGAATTTACCTCTTTAACGCTAACTAAGCACTCTAGGAGGGACTCCGGCATGAAGACTCCATCGCTTTTATTCTTTTCCTCGCTAACCTTGTTCCCAGTCTTTGTAGCAGTTTCAGTTCTAGGGCGTTTAGCAGGTTCTATGTTGGCTGATGGCGGCCCCCGCTTTAGCTGTCGAACATCCGGTAGAATTTGGCTCTCAGGTTTCCGAACATTCTCAGTCGCAGATCTTTTTCCAGTGTCAGGTTCAGCTCTGGGTGCAGGTTTAGGCACAGGAGTATTAGATGTGGGTCTGTTGAGCGCATTTATAGAAGGTCCAGTACTAGGGGTGGGGAACAATTCACCCGCCCCCCTCACGCGCAGGATATTCGTTTTCGGGGTGGAAGGGTTATTGCTGGGCTTCTTGATGGAAGATGTGGACAGAGGAGACTTCTCCGGAACTAAAGAAATCATGATAAATCAACAGAATTCATAAATCAATAAGATACCACACGGTCTCGTGATTTTTGGATTCATAACTATCAATAAGTTATGATAAATTTTGATTAGATTCAAAATACTCAAGATTTTCATTTACGTCAGAATAAAGAAATCTAAGAACAAAATAATATGTTCCTAAAAACATTTCTTACATGTTATATTCAAAGTTAGAAACAAAAAATGGAATTTTTGCGGACTTATCTTTTAATTATATAATTTTATTATCTGCAGCCAAGTTATTTTTAGAACAGTTTCCATCACTGCACATGTACACAGTATGTATCCACTACATATTTAAGTTTTTTTTATTAAATCCTACCATTGACAGCAATGTTGAACCTGAAGTTCTCCACGTTGTCCCCAACATCTCCCACTATACCCTGGAGAGGGAGACCTAGAGTCTGGATTAGATTTACAACACGTTCTACCTTCGTTCCAGTCAACTTAGAAAATCCTAAACACAATCAATCAATCAACCATCCAGTTAAATCCTATCCAATGACGGCTTTTATCGGGATCGGCATAAACAATTTGGTCCTATGCACTGATACAGTGATTCATATGTATACAGTATCCTGTGGCCGAATTTAAAGAATTTGAGCGGCGGTTTAAATTTAAACCGCGGTTTAAATATGGTTGGTTCCACTTAAAAGTGTATCAAATGTTTCAAGATTTAAGCCGGCGCTTAATTTAAACCCGGTTTTGGCGGATTTAAACCGCGGCTCAAATTCTTTAAATTCCATCTCTGAACGCGAAACCTAATGTTAATACACTAAAAAGTCAATTTTTGAGTTCTTTGCTGAAAATTTAGAATTGCATACCCTTAATATCGATCGCTTAATCTAAACGTCCAATGTAAACTCTTTAATTTCTGCTAATCCGTTTACCGTCTTCTTGGCTATCCCTCCTGGATTCTAACCAATGAGAGTTATCTCACTAAATAGCGCGCAAAATTTTAAATTTCCTGGCTTCTGCATTGAATTTTATAATCTTTCCGGGATACAAACTAAATAAAAATCTTCAGATTAACAAAAAGAAGAGATGAAGCATTGATCTGATATCCACTATTCTTAAGTTTTCAGCACAACACTCTATGTGTTATACCTGTATATATAAGGGAGATCAATGCTTTACAGTCTGCTACTGAAAACTCAGCTAGCTGCAGCAGGGTCGGCTCACGACAATTAGAACAGGGAGCATTACCTAATAATAAACATCCATTTTATTTTTGTAAAATCAGATTCATTAAAGTTGAAAAAACTTACAAATCATTTATTTAGTAATCGAAAACAAAAATACAGAACTACTTTTTAAAATCCTTTAAATTTTGTTTTTATCTCGAAACTTTTTGCACAATTTTAATGTACTTACATGCTAGCAGTGAAGAGATGAATTCTGAAATATCTGCTAGAAGCGCAGAATGCGCAGCAACTTTCCCATCTTTGCAGAGAAGAAAGAGGTCTGCTTGGACCTCGTTGGACAACCAACGACGCTCGCGCGCCTTCAACACTACGTCCACCATTTCAACGCGTGTAAGCACGTAATATTTCTGAAAATGTAATAATAGAGTTTGTTTTAGTGGATTGTTCTATAAAAGAAGAACCCTGCCCCACATGAAAGCCTCAGTCCAGTTTGCAGAATATTTGAATACGGGTAGACAAGCGCGCATACAATCACTTAAAAATATGATCAATTAATTTAACAATTTAGAGTTTTTGAATTCAATTAATCTTAAAACTTCTAAAAATAAATGAACTATTAACTTAAAAATGTATGGTTTCAAAATTGATAATTTCCTAATGTTTGAGTTTAAATTCTTCTTCACCAGTCGCATACACCAATCCGACAGTTGACCGGTTAACCCGGGTGCGCATGCGCACAAGCGCAAGAGCGCGGTGGGTAGCTGAGATTGTCGCACTCCACGAGACATGCACAATTGTTCCCTTTAAATGCATCGATATAAAATTAAATTTTGTTTGCTCATAATAAATTAGTTCTCCTCGTAATTAGCTGATAAAATCCAAACTCTAATTAATTAAAAAAGATTAAGGGATCAAGCTTTGTATCCAACAACGCATATGATGGACAAAAGCTGATCAGAGAAATTAACCGGGATGAATATATCGATTATTGAACTTAAAAAAAAAAATTACAGGGCTGGTACCTACCTTGGAATGCAAATGGCGTCAGTTCCTGTAAAGACTACTACTGCCAGAATAAAAACGTCAATGAGAAATTCCGCGGCATTCTCTGATCCAGATTTGCGCAGGAGACTACTCACTTGACCCATAAGCTCCAGCAGCCAGGTTAAACATGCCTAAATCAACATCTATTAAAACAAGTTAAGCAACTTGACCTCAATTTACTGAGTGACATTTCCAACAGTACCTTTTTGAATGATATTTGACGACAGAGATATCATTTTTTCTGAAAATTGAGTGCCAGAACTCGGATGTATAGTGAACTGAACACTGCATGCAAAAGACGTCACATAATTTTGATGAAGCTAAATTTTCAGCTAGAAAAATAAAGATATCTCATCGTCATCCTTGTTCAGACAAAGGTTTCAAGGCAACTGTTATGAATCTGACATGCCACTAAATAAAAGGGAGGGTCCTGGGCCACTTAAAGTTATGTCTCCATAATCTGAAAGAAACGAAGAACTATAACGACTAACCAGGGTTAAAATAATCACCTGGTTGGATTTACTTCGTGCTAAGATAAGAACTGAATCCAGGTTACGGAGAAGGAAGGAGAAATCTCCTGGTTGCTTAGCAGCTACCTCCAGCAACTAGAAATCAATTAATCAAACTAAATCTTAAGAGAAAAATTAGTCTTGTCAAAGTTCCTTATATAAAAAGACATAAAAATGTCTAGCGTTTAAAGATTTTAGAAATAAAACGCGTAAAAGTGTTTCGAATAAAAATACTTTTAAAATAACTTTAAAATTTCCCCTGTAAAATACACCCGAAGAGGACAAAAGAGACATACAAACCATTTTATCAAATTTAATTCTTTATTTACCTCGTTGAGCCAGGTGAGAGGGGTTTCTGTTGTATCACTCAAGGCAAGCTTTGTACGTAAACTACCAGCACTACGCAATTTTTTATATATTAAATAAATAATTTATCCTTCGAAGGATGATATTTATGAGTCATGAAATCTGACTATTAAGATTTTCCTATTCCACTGTGCCTTTAATCCATAGCTTGACTAGGCACAGCTGGTTCTACTTATGCTGCTCTGCTAAATTCAACTGGAACCAGAAGTTACAGCTGTAACTAATTCATCTATAGTTCATAAATTTCCAACTCGACTTAGCTTTTAGGAAAGCTTAGCCTTCTTCTATATATTGCTTTATAAAACAGAGGAGTATTATTTATCCTATTTCCTCCAACCCAAGTTGTTGAAAGAGTGACTTAACAATAATTCCAAATAATGATGAACAATAATAATAATAATAATAATAATAATACCTGTAGATTTTGTCTGGAGTAATTTGCCACCAAACTGCAGGAGAGCTTAGTCGTTCTACTTTCTTCATACGTAGCAGAAACAAGGTGTCTATATAGTCCTAGAAATGTAGATATTAGACAATAGACACTATTTCTACTGTCTTCATAGGTAGCAGACACAATGTGTCTATATGGTCCTAGAAATGTAGATATTAGACATTAGACACTAGTTCTACTGTTTTTATAGGGAGCAGAGACAAGATGTCTAGTCCTAGACATGTATATATTAGACATGACACCAGTTCTACTGTCTTCATAGGGAGCAGAGACAATGTGTCTATATAGTCCTAGACATATAGATATTAGACAAGACACTAGTTCTACTGTCTTCATAGGGAGCAGAGACAATGTGCCAATATAGTTCTAGACATGTAGATATTAGAATAAAAACGAGTTCTACTGTCAAGAGACAATGTGTCTATATAGTTCTAGACATGTAGATATTAGAATAAAAACAAGTTCTATTGTCAAGAGACAATGTGTCAATATAGTTCTAGACATGTAGATATTAGAATAAAACAAGTTCTGAATAGTCCTAGAGATGTAGATATTAGAATAAAAACGAGTTCTATTGTCAAGAGACAATGTGTCCATATAGTTCTAGACATGTAGATATTAAAATAAAAACGAGTTTTATTGTCAAGAGACAATGTGTCTGAATAGTCCTAGACATGTAGATATTAGAATAAAAACGATTTCTATTGTCAAGAGACAACGTGTTTTTATAGTCCTAGAGATGTAGATATTAGAATAAAAACGAGTTTTACTGCCAAAAGACGAGGTGTCTATTTCACATTTAAGGCACTGGCAGAATGAAATGGCAGATTGTCAAAAACCAAAATTTTCAAAACTAAAAACATTGAACTAAGAACACTCATATACTATGAAGAACAAGTTAAAAGAAGTAAAAGAAGGACGATAATAAGCACCTGATATGCTGGTAGGTTTGAAGGGAACATCTCGTAAATCTCCTCTAATGCACTTGATATCACAAGGACACTTCCTTCCGCTACATCAGTCCTGATATATGTACAAGTTAACATTATACTTAAAAACATACCCCCTACTTTAATGTATCTCTTAAATTGATTGTGTGGGAAACCCAACTATTTCCTTTTTTAGGGGGGTGAATTTCCCTGAAGTTGCAGAAGTAAAGTTTAACTGAGCATTGAAACTGCAAGAAATTCCAATAAGTAATGATATATCGTTCACAGTAGATCATTCTACCTAAATTAAATTAATCATCTTACTTAGAAAGAGTGTCTTGCATACAGCTGAGATAAATCTTTAGACGTCTCGTTGCTTCATTTTCTTTAACAGTTTCCCCATCAACTTCAGTATCAGTCTCAGCTTGCTTTAATGCTTTCGGTAAGCACCTGAATAGGTTATCGTAAATAATCTTATGAAATCTGTTTTATAACACTTTAATAAAACAAATTTATTGATACAGGTATTAAATGCAGACTGCAGATAAATCATTTTCCTATTTTCTTGTTTCCTGCTTTGCTACGTTCAATATGAATAAAATCTGTTTGAAAAGGTCTGAAAGCGTAATTTTAAGTGCCCCTCCATGCAAAGAGGGCAAAACACAATTTACAATGGTTCCTTTAAAACCTAAATCTAATCAAAAATGTGAAAGATTCCGTTGTTTCTTATGATTTCTTCGTTGCTCCTTTTTAGCAAGAAATACGTAAGTCACTTTTACAGAGAACCCGCGAATGAAAATGAACAGTTTTAAGAAACAAAAACATGGATATATAATTCACACTTCATCAGACAAAGATTTTATGGGTAGCTTTGTAAATCGGGCATTGCCATCTTTGCATGGAGGGTCACTTGAAATTACGCTTACTGGTTTTGTGTTCCTCGTCACATTTTTATTATAATTGCCACATCTGTCATATATGAATTCCAAGACCTACCTGCCGAATTCAAATATGAGTTTGAATTGATATGAGTTGATGTTTGAGTTGATTTTTGAGCTGATTTGAGTTGATTTGAGTTTAGTTGATTTGGGTTGATTTGAATAGATTTGAGTTGATTTGAGTAGATTTGAATAGATTTGAATAGATTTGAGTTGATTTGAGTAGATTTGAGTAGATTTGAGTAGATTTGAGTAGATTTGAGTAGATTTGAGTAGATTTGAGTAGATTTTAGTTGATTTGATTTGATTTGATTTGATTTGATTTGATTTGATTTGATTTAATTTGATTTGATTTGATTTGATTTGATTTGATTTGAAGTACAGGTGGGTTATGTGTTCTAACCTAGATATAAAAGTACCAAGTACAGATGAGGGTATGTGTACTAACCTAGATATAAAAGTACCGAGTACAAATGAAGGTATGTGTACTAACCTATACAGAAAAAAGTACAGATGAGGGTATATGTACTAACCTTGATATAAAAGTACCAAGTACAAATGAAGGTTTGTGTACTAACCTATATAGAAAAAAGTACAGATGAGGGTATATGTACTAACCTAGATATAAAAGTACCAAGTACAGATAAGGGTATATGTACTACAAACTAACCTAGATATAAAAGTACCAGGTACAGATGAGGGTATATGTACTAACCTAGATATAAAAGTACCTAGTTCAGATGAGGGTATATGTACTAACCTACTAACCTAGATATAAAAGTGCAAGGTACAGATGAGGGTATATGTACTAACCTAGATATAAAAGTACCAAGTACAGATGATGGTATGTGTTTTAACTGTTGAAAATACAAAGATTCTGTTTCTGAGTCTAATCCACTCCCCAGCTGTCTCTCCAGGATAATACGGGCTGATCTAGACATAGAAATATGAATATTAAATACTGATGGCTATCTTATTGTACTGTGCAAGCAGTGCAACAAAATAAGAATTACAGAATTACTAATCATATCAGCTCAACTGACCGGACCCAACCTTTTAAAATGGAAGTTACAAAGCCGGTCAATTTTTTTTAAAGTTCCATTAAAAATCGTTGAAGATCCACAATTGAAATAAAAAACCGCGAAGTCTAGCAGTAATGTTTTTAATGCACCAAGAAAAAAGGTTAGAGTTAAAGTAAAATTATTGCTATAACTGGAATCCTAGCTGATGACAATTGACAATGCTTTTAAAACTTGCTAACAATATACCTAGAATGCTCGGCCTGTCTTGATATTAACTGGATAAAGCCGGCTTTAAGCCTAGATCTATCTAAGAATTGATCCATGCTTAACCAGTCGAGTGGCGGCAGGGGCCGACCATACTCCTCTCCAAGCAGACCAAGGCAAACTTCACCAACTAGCTCTAGTTCTAAATATTAACACTAGAGGTCTCATTTCAAATCTGTTAAGATAACGGGAAAAAAACCTGTGCTTGTATTTGAAGGATGAACCAAGTCTTTGCAGACCAGAACATGATTCAGAATACCTCTAAAATATAATTTAGTTTTTAGTTAAAAAATATTTTAATTTAATAGATCACCGAGAGTCATTTACTCTATTATTTTAGGAAAGCTTATATCATGTTTTGTAAAAAATTAACAAGCTGAATTAGAAAGATAATTATTTTTGTTTAAATCCAATAAATGTCAACACGGCTGAACCGATCGGGCCCACATTTTTTTGTGGCAACTCACATGGCCCTAAAGTAGGTTTTCGAGAAAAAACTGTATCTGGCGAAAATTGCTGATTTTTTCGAAGTTTTAGAAACCTATGAATGTTAACAGAATATTTCACAATATTTCGAGTTAAACGATTACGAAGAAAAAACGTCAGCATTTCAAAGGTACGATTGTTAAAGTGGGAGTGCAGCAAGAAAACACGACTGCCATCAATGCTGCAAAATCATTTATGACATATTTTTACGATTTTTTTATAATCCGGTCAAAAATGAAAAATTGGACAAGCTTTGTCACCCTTTTAACAATTTATTTATTTTCACTTAAAAATAATTTTCACCCCCAATTCAGCGAAGACAAACCTTAAATTTTTTTACCTAACTTATAAGGGTTAAATTAATTTTCAAAAAAGGGGGAAATGATTTAAAGAAAATATACACCCCTAGAGGAAGAAGAACAAGCAAACAAAAGAAAAGCGATCTCAACGCTTATCAAATAACAAATGAAAGAGCAAAAGAAAAAAAAAGAAATAATCAGCTACAACAAGCAAACGGATAAAATAAAAGAAGCTCAGACTGTATTCCTAAAAATAATAGACCTAGAATAAAAACAATGTGGTGGGCCGATGATGATGATGATATGTCGGATGATATGTCGAATATTAGTTCAGGAAATAAATTTAAACAGAATTGATATTGACACCACCTGGCGGTGTTTCAAACAAAACTACAAGTCTAATGTTGACTCGGCAATATTAAAACTGTAAAATCATTATTTAAAAGTCAGCAAATGTATTATATTTCATCGAATGCAAAGTTGTCTGTTAATAATAATAATAATAATAATAATAATAATAATAATAATAATAATAATAATAATAATAAAAATAATAATAATGATAATAATGATAATAATAATATCAATTTGTTATACCTTGAAATGTATTGGATTTCGAATTGCTAATTTATTTCTTATCAGCATATTAACATTAATTAAAACACTTTTTTTTAAAACTTGCAATTTCCATTAAATCAGCGCAGATATTATATTTAAATTAAAATCCACACCACTAGGTGGTGCTATATGCACTAACATTTTCTTATCCTTAAAAAGCAATACAAATTTAAAACAGCAATGAGAATTTTTACCAGATTTTTTATTACAATTTAATTGAAACGTTTGCTTTTCATTTTTCTCATTTTATTACATTAATCATTTTCTGCCAGAGAAATACTAAAAAATTGGTGCTAAGTGCATCTAAAAACTTTCCCCAATTTTCTCGTGTTTCCTATTGGGTGGTGGATGGGATTTTGGTGACCCACTAAAGTTTTAAAACCAGGGATGGGATGTTTAAAAGTTTCGTTGAAGAAGGAGAATAAATAAAAACGAAACATTCGTTTAAAACCAATTTTTTCCACAAAATAAAACGATTTAGAGACAAAAGTGAAAAATGAGACGTGTTGTTTTAAAACGATAATTTTCATAAAAAATCAAATCAAATCAAATCAAAATCAAATCAAATCTTCATTTTTCGTTTTTCAAGAGCGAACGTTTTCCCTATTTTAAACGAGAGAAAAACAAGAATTTAAAAATATTTTTGATTGTATTGTACTGCGTATCTGAGCACACTATGTACAGGAAGATGATTGTAGTTGTACTGTACTGCCTACCTGATAACACTATGTACAGGAAGATGATTGTAGTTGTTCTGTACTGCCTACCTGAGTACACTATGTACAGGAAGATGATTGTAGTTAACGGGTTCTGCTCCCGAGTTCTGCATCGCTTGACTAAACAAGACAAAAATTATTTTAAGTAATAAAATATCATTTTAAAAATACCATAAAAAAAACACCTTTTTTATCAACCCTGCGATTTTTGTTTATTTCTTATACCTTAGATGATAAACAGATCTAGGAAGGTTTGTAATCTCTGCCTGAATGAGGGCTCGGAGTAAAGCTTTCACCCCTTTCAGGATAGGATTAGGTGCGGTGGTATCCGGTTTGGCTCCGGGTAGGTTGATCAGCTTGGACCAACAGTCTCCGGGTACATATGGGAGAACGTCCTCAGGTTTTCTATAAAAAGAAATTCGATTATCTAAATGTAAATTCCTATTTTTTTCTACGAGTTACATAGTTACAAAAGTGTACGCAATTAAGAAATTTCCCGTAATGAAATGGGATTATTAAGGAAGCATAAAATTAGCTAAAGTTTAAAAAAACACCTAGGATTTCTAAATTTTAAAAATTGACAAGTTTATACAAGTACAATTTCTCAATTTTGACCAGCTAAAACCCTTCCCTAGGGTCAAGTGATTTACCGCAAAAAAATTACTAACAAACCAATCTACCAAATATTTAAAGAAAAAAGATAACCTTGCAGCATCTGCCGGAGTGGAACAGTACTCCGAGGGTAGTTTAACCCCCTGTCTAGCGTACTCAGGGAGCATTCTCAATTGTATAGTTTCTAAAGGGTAGGCGGAGATAGATAGATAGGCCGAGTAGATGATTGAGGGATTGCTAGAGGTGGACACTATCCTCCACAACCAGCAGAGGGAGTCTGACACAAACTTGGAGTAATCGATTCCTAAAAATTGTCATTTAACAAGTTATTTATGAAAAAACGCATAAATGTTTTAAATGCTTGTGCTTCTTGACTTAAAAGGGACTATAAGCGTAATTTCAAGTGACCCTCCATGCAAATGTCCGATTTACAACGGTACTCTTAAAAGCTTTGTCTGATCAAGTATAAATTAGATATTAATGTTTATAACTTTGAAAACAAATAATTTTCAACTGTAGTTCTTCTACAAAATTGACCCACGCACTTCTTACACATTATTGACCAGATAAAAGTTCAAGGGTACTGAATTGTGAATCGGCAATTTCATCTTTGCATGGAGGAAAACTTGAAATTACGCTTACAGTCCCTTCAAGTAAGATACACCTGAGCCCGAAATTTAAGATAGGCATATAGGGCATTGTCACGAACTCCAATATCGAAACATTGATTTTTTAAATCGGACACAACAATTTTCTAGATTTTAATTTCTGTTGAAAATATTATTTAAATTTTTTAGTTTTGCATTATCTTGTACTTTTCTAATTCTGATAATAATTTATTGGGGTTAAAAAAGAGGTAAAAATCTTAAAGAAACAAACCTGGCACTTTAAATATCGGTGCCAGACTGAGCAGCTTGATGTACGCCTCTACCACCTTGGGTCTCTCATCCTTTGAACACTTCGGGGCCAACACCTTAAATTTGAAAATGTCTTTTATTATTTTGACAAAGATTTTTCTTCGGTGTGGAAAGGGGAATGGGGGAATGAAAATTTGAGTTGGCAAGTTCATCTTTTCTGATACTTATTCCTTCACATAAAATCGAGCTACAAATAGGGGGGGGGGGGGGGGGGNTGGTGGAGAATTTTTTTTTCGAAAAACTATAAATGCCAAGTGTTTGTTATTCAAAAAATAATAAGATAGAATTTTCTAATATTTTCCGTTAAATGGACTATTCGGATCTTAGTAGTTTATTCACACATTTTAGTAAAAAAAAAATTGAAGGGCTTTCTTACCTTGAGCGTAGTTCTAATATCAATAACAGATTCCTTGCACAGTAGATAAATAGATTCAAGTGCTAGGGTTGCAGCTACAGTCACCTGAAATAAACACACTATAATTATCTGTCTATCAATCAATCAATCAATCAATCAATCAAAACAAATCCATTTATCAAACAATACTTCAGCAAGCAAGACATAAAATCAATCCTTTCTCTATAAAACGTAGATTGATTTAAGTGCCAGGGTTGCAGTTGCAGATAGCGTCACCTGATAGTCAAACCAACCAATAAATAAATCTTTTTATCAACCAATCAACCAATTAATTAATCAAATTACTGTTTAAATAGATAAATGTCAAGATTTTAATAAACCAGATTATTTTGTATCAGAAATTTTGTTATCACTGGATTATTTTTAATCTAAATAAATACTAATATAAAAAACTATACCTCCTGGTTAGAGCACTGGTTTACTATTGATGAAATTATAGAGAGAAGATCAGATCCGTATTCTACTCCATGTGTACTCAATATATCCTGTAGAGGGTTACATCACGTTTATTTTACAAAACAATAATAATAAAACAAACCAAGGAAATTTATTTCACAAATTTGTTTAATATTTGGCCTTTTTTAGGATATTTTAGAATAACTCATTTTTACTGCCGCAGTGCATAAGACTTACTTGCAAGGTTGAAAAAATAGATTTTTAAGGGGTGAACTTTGTAATCACTAATAAATACCTAAAAAAAGGTTTAAAACAATCTTATAAAAAAACCTAAACAGCTAAAATAAATTAGATAGAATTCTAATAGTTTGATGATTTTTTAATATTTTCAGAACAAATCTTAAGAAAATTAAGTTAATCAAAAAACATTGAAATAAATTTTTATTCAAGCGCTCCTTGGCAGCTAGATTGTGTGAAGCGCTGCGGTGCCCCTAGTGTTTAATGTACTGTGTGAGAGAGAGTGTATATGTACTGCTACTAGACGCAGCTTTCTTCTTGTTCATGCGCCGGCGAGAGCTGGCGGCCCGCGCCATATCTTCACCCTGCCCTCTGTTCTGACTGGTCATTCTATCTCTCCTGTCTCAGCTTATTATAATTTGTAAAGTGTTTCAAAACTTCAAGATTATATTTTTTTTTTAAATATTTGCTTGGGAACCCAGCTTTGCCTGGATACCTGACAAAGCAATTTCCTTAAAATTAACCTACTTAATTTCTTTTAAACCAAACTAAGGAAAAAAATACCGTAGTTATACTGAGTTTTCCAATAAAAAAGTTGAGTAAAATATGTTTAAAAGTTCCTGAGTTACGATATAACAAACATAAATTTATAATTTATATATATATAGATATTTTTGATGAATAACGTGATGTAATCCGTTCCTTAATGACGAGTGCTCTAGTAATCTGAGTTATGATGTAACAAACATAAATTTATAATTTATATATATATAGATATTTTTGATGAATAACGTGATGTAATCCGTTCCTTAATGACGAGTGCTCTAGTAATCTGAGTTTCCATGAATACAGTCTCTACAACTGGCTCCTCTAAGGCCTAAATAATTGACAAAATGTCGCCTCACTTTTATTTTGTCACATTTTTTTATTCAGCATTTGTTCAATCTTTAAATTCAAACACTAAGCTTACAATTTGACAGGTGAAACCTTTATCTGATCAATAATAACGGAAGATATTTTCTAACTAGAAAACTGATCATTCTAACAAATTTTTCCAATGCTTCTGATACCTAGATAAATTAGAATAGATTGTTCATGTCGTCTTCACCATACCAGAGAGTTACAGTTGAAATTGAAAATGGCAATTTAGCTATGGACTAGCTACTGACATACAGTACATTGGATATAAAGGTTTGCGGCAAGTATATTTGTACTCTGAGCCTGAAATTTAAAAGAGTATCGTTGGACAAAACTCCCGAGTTTTCTTTTTTGGGGTCTTAACATTTGTGTAGGTTTTGATTTAAGAGATTCGAAAAAAAATTGAGAATATAAACAAGCTGAATAAAATAATATTTCATAACAAAAATATTGATATTCACAAAACTGCCTACCCCAATTCATGAAACCCGGGTTTTAAAGCTGGTTTTCAGAACGATACCCTGTCTTAAGTTTTGGGCTCTGTACAAATTTATGGGGGTTTGTTTACAAATATTGCAGACATACTAGTTAAAAGTTGAATTTCAAAGGATTAGAACGAAGATTAGTTGCTGCTTGCTACCGATATGTGAGTGATAATGATGACAATCAGACTCCCCTTACACACAAAGAACACATTAAAGTTGGAAGACCTTTCAAACTATTAAATCTCTTGGGATGATAGCGATACTTTGGTGAATTCTATGTGTCAACAATCAACATGTGGACAGTGAAAATCTCGGTATGATTACCATTTTATTTTATTTTATT